CCCTCTCTTCTCTCGCTGACCGGCCACTGGCCGATGTTTCCTCTCAGCAAGGGCGTGGGGGCCTTCTGTCCCTTGTTTCCAATTACATCCACCAGCGTGGCCTCCTCATATGGTATCGAGAGGTGGAGAGCGATCGCGGCCCCTCTCCGGATTCCCCATCCCTGACCCAGGGTCTCTAACTTTTCTCTCCTCTGCACTTCGCAGCCTTGAGGAGGACCATGGTCGGAGGATCCGTCTAAGGGTTCGAAGCCGTTGTCGTTGCCGTCCTTGTCTGTTTTATGCTTACCTAGTTCTTCTCCTCCTCCTCCTCCTTCCTCTCTACTCATCTGCATCTGCTCTCTCGACCATGGTATATATACTCCCCTCTACGTCTGCTGTCGTAAAGTCGGGGGAGAATGCAATAAAGGAACGCCAAGATCCGAGGGGGGTTGCTGTACCGACTGGAGGGAACTGATAGTCTTAGTGGCCAGGAATCTGACATGTGTCACTTCTCTCCCAGCAGAAATCATCAACCTCCAGCCCATCTAATAGGAGTGGCACACGCTGATGGGAAGACTACGGCACGTAGCTCGCCAGCCTGCTGGTACACTGTCTGACTTGGAGGGTGCCCCCCCCCCCCCCCCCCCCCCTTGGCCTCCGCTCAGATACGCACCCCCTCTCTCGTCTCAAGCCACGCGGCAGCATTTCCATCTTGGTCGTCGGCCGGCGGCAGGAAAGCACGGCGTAGAGCTTATTGCCGTGGAAGAGGAACCGTGGCGTGCTTAAATCCTCGATGCCTTCGTGCCGATGCTCACGTCCCAAGGTATGAGTCGGTAGTTGGTCTGCATGCATAATGTATCATCCGTATGCCGTAGTTTGTGATGCGATGCAATGGCACATGCAACGACACCTGGCTGTTACTGCGTGCCCTCTGTCTACTTCCTTCGAATCCTCCGTATGCTGGAACGAAGGTCTAATACTCCGAATGCAGGCGCAACACGCTATACGCAGACGCTATACGCAGAGGGAGATAAGAGACAGAGACAAACTAATCGATGTCATATGACTAGCATAGGCAGACTGGATGGCGGCGGCGGGGGCAGGGACGTGTGACGGAAGGCGTGCAGCTGTCACGGATACGGGAAGCAATGCATTATTATTATGATTATTATCATCATCGTCATCATCATGATTATTACGATCATGGCCGACCGCATATTGCTTCTTGGCACAGAGAAATGGCATTCTTTACGAAATCACTTGCGCCACGAGAAACATGCGTAAGCTGAGCTATGGGGACGAAGAGGTTAAAAAAAGACAGATAGACGGGCAGCTGAAGAGAACGGGGTGTCCGCCCATACGAGTTGCTCACGTACGTGTTCGCTTCCCTCTCAACCAACAGCCACAGCATCGGCACACTCAAGTCCCGCCGCCCCCCCCCTCCTCTGGCCCTCCGGGCCGGCGGGGTCACGGATGGGTACTGTGCTGTTGGCTCCAAGCGGCCAGGCCGATGCGTAGGAAGGTGGAAGGAGAACCGGAGGGAGTAACGGAGCCAGGTGAGATAGTTCTGATGGGCAAGGCTGGACAGGGGAATGAGTATATCCGATCTCCGACAGGGGAATGAGCATATCCGGAGATCGGCTGCGTATGTGTGTGGTGTAGTGTAGTGTAGTGTAGTGTGTGTGTGTGTGTGAGTGCACCCTCCTCCTCTCTCCCCTGCTCACCCGTCCTCTTTACAACGCTTGTTCTCTCTCTCGCGCTCTCTCGCGCGCTCTCTCTCTCTCTATCTCTCCGCGCCTACGTGGCCCTCGTGGTATCGCTGCTCGCTGTAGGCAAAGTCAACACCTAACCGGTACGGGGATACCGGGGTCCAGCGTCGTGGTGGGATCGATGTGGGAAAGGACCCGTTAGCCGTTCTGGGAGGACGCCGCCGACGCCAGGGGACGCTGGTCCTAGCCGGACCAAACCTTCAAGCCACCTCCGGCATGTCACTGAACAACCGGGCTGGACCCTTGGCCAGATTGGCGGTAGAGGAAGAAGGGGAGGGGGGTTAAGTGAGGTCCTTGTAGGAGAGTGCGGGACAGATCGTACCATGGGTACGGAGGGCGTGTGAAGAGCTGTTGTGGCACAGCCTGGCTCCTCAAGTCCGGTGGGTGGTGGGTGTATGCATGCGCGTGCGTGCTCTCGGAGAGGGGGGGGGGGGGCGTGCGATGAAGTACGCTTTGGGAAAGGATGGGTCCAAGGGTCGGGACTAGCTGGTACGTACTATCCTGGTACTGCTACGTTCCTACGTCTACGTATTCTATACGGAGTCTGAGTATGAGTACGTACTCTTCCATGATGATGCACAGAGTTGCAGCTGCACTCGTATGACCCGTCGACGTATGAGGTACGTACCCCTCTCTCTCTCTCTCTCTCCTTACCCCCCCTCCCCCTTCTCGTCGTCGTCTCTCCTTACCCTCGCCCTCGCTCTCTGCTTAGTAGTGCAAGGTGCGAACGTGTGCAAGTTTCTCTCTAATCGTCTACGTATGGACTCACACATGCCAAAACCATGAGGAAATAGTTTGCGACCCACCCGCACCATCCGGCCGGTACGTACATGTATCCTCTGCTCTGTGAACTCGTACTCTGGTACTCCAGTACCCTCTCTCGTATACACACACACACACACACACGCACACACACACACACGCCATGGGGCTTTGCTTTTCCACGCAAGCTCAACTCTTTGCCTCTCTCTCTACTTCCTCTTCTCTTTCTCTTTTTCGGGGGTTTGTTTTTTTCTTCCCTCTGCCTGTATTATACATAACTCTCCGATCTAATATATAACTATCCACCCCCGTCCTCCCCCCTCGCCCCCCCCCCCTTCCCCGGCCAGGATCTTGTCCACCTCTGGAACTAAGATCTTTAATCCAACTCATATCGTCCATCTCATCATATACACTAGGGGATGTAAGAAAGGGTGTCACCAAAGAACGAACGAAACACGACAGTCGACGTATAAGACGACAACGCACCCACCACCCCACAACCGTCAATCTTTCCTCAAAAGGACCCCCCCCCCCCCGGCAGCTCCCCGGCTTCCTCCACCTCGCAACAGATCTTAGTTGCATATCAATATCAGCTTCAAGTTCAGATTTACGACCTCTTGGACGCAATCAGTCACATGTTTCCTACCATGGCGTCGTCTCCTGCACCCTCTACCGACAGCACGTCTTCAGTCAGATACCCTTCTCCTACCCACAACATGCAACGATCAAACTCGGTCGAGCAGAGCAAGTCGTCGAAGCGCAAGGGTAAAGTTCCACCCCCCGGCATGAACCCCTCCCCCTTCTCCGTCGCTCCCCAGCAACGCTCAGGACTGACTCCCCCCTTCCAGGTGCCCGCAGCGTCTCTACTCTGACGCCCGCTCAGCTTGCACGCAAGAGGGCCAACGACAGGGAGGCCCAGAGGGCCATCCGTGCCCGGACCAAGGAGCATATCGAGCGTCTCGAGGCCGAGATCGAGGACCTCCGCAGCGAGAGGGGCCGCGACTCGGCCGTCCAGGAGCTCCTGCGCCGCAACAACATGCTCGAGAAGGAGCTCAAGGGCCTCCGCGAGAGCATAGGCATGCCCTTCAACGCCAGCCCCGGCAGCACGACATCCTACTCGGCCCCCGGTCACCTCGCCAGCCCTCGCACGTCCCCCTACCCTCACGGCCCGGAGATGACGACGGCACCCCCCCCCGCCACCACCACCACCGCCGCCGCCGCCGCCGCCGCCACCAGCGCTCCGCTCGCCGACTACCCCTCCGGCTTTGTCTCGTTCGGCAACCCTGCGACGGTGGCCGAGGCCTGGCCGGTGGCCGCCATGCCCGGCCCCTCCAACGTGTCGAGTCCCTGCTCCTCCATCGCGGACGAGTACGGCGCCGGAGCCGGATACCTCCCCACCAGCGCCCCCAACCCGATAGTGGCCCCTCAAGTTCACCATGGCCTGAACGCTCACGAGGCCGTCAAGCTCGAGTACGGCGACGGCAACGGTGCGTGCCTCCTCCCTTTGACTGCCACCTCTTCCATCTAGACCGCGCGGGACTGACGATGAGAAGAACTAGATCACGGACTCCTCCGCTCCGACAGCCAGCACGGCGGTATCCGCAGCCACGCCACGACGCCTCCCACCAACACCGTCCCGAATCCGTTCATGCTTGCCGCTCAGCATCAGCAGCATCAGCAGCATCAGCAGCATCAGCAGCAGCAGCAGCAGCAGCAGCATCAGCAGCAGCAGCAGCAACTCCAGGAGGCCGTTCCTGGCTGGGGTCCCAGCCAGTCAATGTACTACGCTACTATGCAGCACCCCATCTACTAGAGCTGTCAACGACGCCTGCACTGACGAGTACCCGTCGTCTGGGCCGAGGGCATGATGCTACATGCTCCAAGGCTGGCCCGACCGGAGCCGGGCAGCATGATCCCTTGATTCTCAACAACGGCCGCACATACTTTTCCTCTTCTTCTTTTTTCTTACCATTCTTGCACATACCTTTCTCTCTCACTTAACGGGGTGTCTATTCTACGCTATGCGACTGGCCCACTACCCTCTTTCACCCCCTTCTCCTACACAAATTGAACCCCAATCGGAGACGCGACAACTCGTCTCGACGATAACTACTCTGGGAGTCTGCACTCCTGATTCTGACGTTTTCTTACCTGGATTCAAACCATCAACATTCAAACCAACTCATAGCCACAGGCCTATCTCTTTCTTTTCTGCTTCTTCCCATGTTCTTTCTTGCCCGTTTTTCATTGAATTTGGACCAGGAGGTGTTTTACGGGGTTCTGGACTTGGGATTTCTCATCTGGGATTGTCAATAGTACATTACGGTACTCTTGGTGTATCAACTATCATGTTTATTATGGCGAACGGGTGGCAGCGCTCTTTGGGACTCTTGGGAGGGTATCTGGAGTTTTTTTTTTCTTCTTTTTTTTATATTATCTTTTTTTTTCTGGTGGGGGTTGTTGGTTAGAAATTTCTTTGGTAGATTATGCATATTATTACAATGAGACACAGTTACATTCTCTTCATCTGACCTCTTGACCGTTGACTACTCCAACCTTGTCCTTGACAGCCTCTTCTCTACCTTGTACATGGACGAGTACCGTCTCTGTATCGCTTGATGACATCAAGCGCAGAAAGAAAGAAAAAAAAAGAAAAAAAAATGGAGATGAGAAGCACAGACAGGCAGACAATACAGGCTAGGAACGAGCTGACGGCAGCAAGTATCATCCGTCCAGGTATCGAATACAGGCCAACAGGGGATGGGCAGGAACGTCGAGGGTGTGCAGAGTGGTGGCATGCATGTGCAGGGGTCCTGAGGTCGTGGCAACGGGCGTCAGGTCCGTTCATGGTGAAGGGCCTCTCCTCCATCCGCTTCCCTGCTTCCTTTCTCTTCTCTTCCCCTTCACTTCCTTTCTGGCGTTAAGCAGCGGATATGCCGACGCATGGGGGGGGGGGGGGTTGGTTTCCTGATGGTACATGGGTCTCTGTCTTTTTCAGCTAGGTTCTAGGATCGTCCGGGTTCCATGGGTATGCATGTCTGATCTAGACAAGACCCGATCTTTTCCCTTCTCTTCCCTTCTCCTTCTCTCTCACCTGCATATCGAAGAATGACGCTCTCATTCGTCAGAGCCTGCGAAGCCGGACGAGAGGCAGAGCAACGATGCCGCTGAGCGTGTGAAGCCAGTCGCGCGTGTGAAGATTTTTCACCAACACGCATACACGCACACCTACTCGCAAAGTACGATTGAACATGGTAATAATACGCACCCCGGTTCTCTGCTTCATCATACACATCTATTACGCGCATAGTCAGTCTCGCAGAGTTTAGGCGGCAGAGGAGGAAAAGCCGAGAGCTGCCCGTTTGGGAAAGGAAAGGAAAGGAAAGGAAAAAAAAAAAAAGAAGCTTTACAGCTCGTCGTTGTCATCGTCGTCATCATGGTTGCCTACGCCATCGAGAGAAGAAAGAGATGCGATATAGTCAGGAGCAATACTGATCATACTGATCGTAAAAGAGGCGCGCCCGTTGGTCGTTGCGAGGCTCGGTTGAGAGAAACTCGCAATGTTCTGGTCTTGTGTGCAATGTACCCCCCGGTACGGCCTGCCATGTTCAGCATATCCATGACGGAATATCGATACGGTTTGCCTCTCCTACTTTACCAGATCCCCGCGTTGGGATATTTCTCCATGTTACGATAACCTTTCCCACCCACTCCCGCCCTCCCCACCCTCTCCCTCCGCATCTTCCATCCTACTCTCCATCGTACTCCAGTACGGGGAACCCCCCAAACGTCCATCTCAGACGACGCCGCACACTATGCTCGGCCGAGGGGAGGAGACCACGCGGATGAAGCAGGGAAGTCCGGTTCCAAGCCGCCGTCACGAGAGAGCGCAGAGCAGCCGGTGGCCAGGGATGAGCTTCGGATCTCCTCCATCGCAACGGGGAATGTGATGCACATCCTGTGCTTCCGATGACGGAGAGAGATGGAGGACGATAGCGTCGGTGGCTGTCACGTACGTGAACCCGACAACCACATCTGCTCGCGATGAGGCTCCGGACGGGCGATGAGCAGGCCCGGCCGCCACGCACAGCTCATCTCGGTAGGTTTACCAAACATGGCATCACTCCTAGCAATGGCTGCTCCCCGCACGTCTTACAAGGTAGTTGCCGTCGAACTTTCCTTTCGATCCCGCCACCTCGGTGGCTAGGTCCGATATCGAAGATTGACCTCTCCCATCTCACCTCTTTCGCCTTGGTGAATGTTCCTCGTGAAGTAGAGAAGAAGAAGAGGAATATATCAGAACAGAGAACCGGGGAAACCCCCCTCCCGTATTGGAGAGGACGGCGCCGCCGACGCCGGGCAATGTCTCGCCTTCTCCACAGAAAGCCATGGAGGGCCGTCGTACCTCTCCCGTCGGGATAATACTGCATTGATCACTTGCTGTGAAACGGACCCAAGTTTGTATTGTATCCCTTCTCTACTGTATATACTCTCTCTCTCTCTCTCTTACATGTATATATATATATATATATATATTGAAAGGAAATTTTTTTTTTCTGATGGGAAATTCCCTCATCAAAATGGACAGAGTGATGATAATACGAGTGTCTCCTTTTCTTTCTTTTTCTTTCTTTCTTCTTTCTTCTCTCTTTCTCAGTCTGTGCGTGCATATGGACAGTAGCCAACCAGGTCGCCAATGGTCAGGCAACCCATCAAACATGCCGAGGAGACATGACTTAGTACTCCGCCTACAGCTGATTGACTGGCCGTATCACCGCTTCCCGCGGAGAAACACGGATCGCGGGTTCATGATCTGAAGAAACCCGTCACGGAGGCGCGGGTAGCCTCTGCGACCGCCGGACTGGGATCGTCTACAACGTATAGGCAGATGTCGGTTGACTTGGTTCTTCTGCTTCCCGAAACACCCAATATCTTGATCGAGTTTGGGCAGCATCGTTACCAGAGACGCATGTGCAGTCAAAAACTCATGTTTCTTTTCTTTTCTTTTTTTCCATCTTCTTTTTTTCGGCACCGCTACAATCTACATCTACATCATATGCGCCCTTTGATGATGGCTAGAGGGAGGCTGCGCCTCGCTCATTCCAGGATCGAAGACATCCGTCCAACGGTAAGGACTGATTGGTTGTGAGATGCAAGAAAATACATAATTTGTATATAAATTGCGAATATATTTACAAAAGATCATGTCTGGACGGTTGACAGGGAGGCGACGGCTAAGCAGTCCTCATCTACGCTGCACTCTATGGTTCTGCACCTTCAGCTCTCTTCCGAGCTCTCCTGGCCTCGTTGTCGTCATCTGCCGAGTTTAATCGATCGAGGCTGAGGGAAAGAATGGATGAGAATAGGAGGTGCGGGAGAGAGGAAGATGGTGAAAAAAAAAAAAACTCTCAATGCAGTTGCGCGTCACCCTCTTCCCTGAGGGTGAGGGTGTGACGAGATGAGGACGGCTCATCGCTTTCTTCCGTCGACACCCCTCCCCCCCCCTCCCCCCCCCTCTTCTTCACTCGGTCGGTTTACCGACCGACTGGTAAGGGAGGTGTGTATGGAGGCCGAGAAGGGGGGGGGAGGGACCGTAGTGTTCGTTCCTCTCTACATCTCCGAGGCGGGATGTCACAGCGCCTCTTCTTCATCTTCTTCTCTGACTGTCCATGCTCCGATTGGCAACGTGCCCGTGCTATGCGCTCTAGATCGAGGATTGATTCATCTCATCCTTCTTCTCCTCGTCTCTCCGCCCATGTCATCTCTCGGGTCATCAATCTATCAATCCCTCGGGTCGCCAGTAACTTCTCGAGAAGATTCCGGCAACCCTCTTTTCTTTCTTGCGCGTACACCGCAACGCATCACACCATGTGCTCGAGTACATGGGAGCTCAGACCCCCCCCCAATCTTCTTCACCGACAACCACCGACCTACATGTACTATCATCTGCTGGCCACTGACGTGGGAGGCGAGGGGGGAAGGTCATCGGTACGGCCAAGCGTATGCGTACTTCTCCGTAATACACCTACCATTCTTATTACTTATTATTATTATTATCCCATGGCTATTATATATCATTATACGGATAGACTTGTATTATCAACACACACACGTGGATGTGTACGCGTAGGTACGAACGATGAGCAACTAGCATCGTCTACATGTACCCCAGGCAGCATTCAACCCATGTTTATTGGTATTGATAATATGACTTTAACAGATCCCGTCATCAGTCATCAGCGGACTCGGCAGAGCGAGCGGTCTGCATATGAGGCAATTGAGTTTTTTCTTTTCTTTTCTTCTCTCTCCCCCCCCCTCTTCCTTTCCCTTTCTTTCTTTTTCCATCGCTTGTCTTATCCTTGATTTTTCCTCTCTCTCTCTCTTTTTTTTTTTTTTTCGTATTATCCATAACTGACCCAAGTACAATGTACAGAGTACATTGAGCAAAGATCATGGTCGGTGCGATCGGAAAAGTCCGTTTCGGAGGGGACGAACAACTTAGCAGTTTACCAGTCTCTTCCTACATGTACCAATACCGGTTATATCAACCCAATGGCCCCGAATAAGACGCCGAGAAAATCCCAGTCTTTTTCTCAGTGTCTTTTCATTATTCGCAGAAGCCCCTTTCGTATTACATACATGTATGTAATCTGTATGCCTATCAGCTACCATATATTATAAATATATAAATATACATATAATATGAATATACATATAATATGAATATACATATAATATAAATATAAACATAATATAAATATAAACATAATATAAATATAATATATATATATATATACATATATACATTTTTCGGATTTAGCCCGTCATATTCTCCAGCCTCCTTGTGCGCGCGGCCTCCCCCGCTTACGATGCTTCCTGCGTTTCCGGCCAATGTCGATTCAATCTCGGTCTTCTTCTTTTCTCTTCTTTTGCTTTTTTTTACTAATCATTGCTTCGCCACGCGTTGATTAGAGAGCCCTGGTGAGTCAGCCATTGAACTCTGGTTGATAATAATACCCCGAGTGGCCACTGGTACTGGTACGGCCGAGGTCCCGCATCCAATTCCTCCGACCGGACAGGTGACGGCTTGCACCGATGGTGAGACGGTCGGAGGAATTGGATGCGGGACCTCCGTAGTTGACAGCTCCGGAGGCGGGATAACCGCCGAACTGCATCGAGTCGGTCTAGTTCACAGCGCACCACAGCCCCGTCACCAGCTGATGGACCGATACCGTAGGTGAAGATGCTAGTAGATCTATTGTTATATTGTTATATATTATCCATCCAGCGACGCTACTCTGGACTCGAATCCATCCATCCCCATCCAACCCGCCTCCCCCCCCCGTAGTATCCGTGCTGATATCCGATCCGGCGTCTGGTCAGGCGCGATCAGCTCCCCTTCAGCTAGCTGCGTCTTTCAGTATCACTGTTGACAGGAGCCAATATTGTTGTAATAGTAGACGAGGTAGAGGCCCATCACTTGGCCGGTGGATTATATTGCATCTGTACTCTCTCAGTCACATTGTCTTCGTCATTCCCGTCTCCGTCATTGCCGTCGTCGTCGTCGTCGTCGTCGACGTCGACGTCAATGTCGACGAGCTGGTCGGCAAGCAAACTCTGGCCGGTCAAGCCGCTGACTGAGCAGCTAGCAACTCCCTCTGGCTGGCATTCTCTTTCACACATATCGAGCTTTTCAGTCCGAGGGCATCTCTCTGGAACGCGGGGCCCCGATAATGCGCATCGACTTTTCCACCAATGCATCTTCGGTCGTGATACAGATCCTGACGCATGAAGCTCTGGACGGCGCCTCGTATGCGGGGCCGTAGGCCATCCGATCACACGGCTGACCAGGACTGGATGCCGAACTTGGGCATTCGTGCGCCGCACGCACGTCCTCCCCGAGCGCCGGGACCGCTGGCGTCGTGCCCGCTGGCTTCTCACTCTCCACTCGATTCTCGACCTCTCGGCCCGATGCGTGTATGATGCGGCGCGTCTCGGTGTGCGGGACCGAGAAGAAGGCAGATTGGTGTAGATGCTCATAGGATGAACTTCTCTCTCGTGTCACGAACCACAGAGGTGCCATCCATCACGTCAGAGTCGGAAGAGAAGAAGAGAGGAGAATCACCCTCCATCATGCCTTCCCCGTCGACCCCGAAACGTCCATCTGCCGCTCGGTCAACTTGCGAGCCTGGATGACACCCTCCTCCATGAGAGCTGTGAGGCTCGTCTTTGCCGCATTCTCCCTGAGATGAGTCAAGTAGTCGTCCAGCACGAGCTTGTTGACGTTTACCTTGGACACGCCAGAGGCAATGCACCGCCTCATCACGTCTTCCGGGAACCCGTTTGTGCCGTGAAGCACGATCCGGACCCTCCCGTCCACCTTTTTCCGGATCATGTCGATGCTAGAGAGAGTCAGCCGCGCTTCGACGCCGATCGCATAAGCACCCCCAGGTAACGTTGGGAGCCGTCACTTACCGATCCCAGTCGAGCACCGGTCCTCTCGCTCCGTACTCGCCGTGTACGTTCCCAAAGGCTGGCGCGAGGAAGTCGATGCCCGTGGCGATGAAATCCTCGACCTGCTCCCCCGTCGTCAGCGCACCCTCGAGATCTGCCGTGCTGGCGATACCGTCCTCTCCACCCTCTATACGCCCGGGCTCGGCCTCGGTGGCGATGCCTCGGTCGTGGCAGTAGGCCACCAGCGCCTTCGTCCTGGCCAGGTTCTCCTCCATGTCGTAGTGGCTCATGTCGACCATGATGCTGTCGAACGGCAGCTCATCTGCTGCGTGGCGGATCATGGCCTCGTCCTGCGCATGGTCCAGGTGGATGGCCACCGGGACCGTCGAGGTCCGCGCAGCGTGCGCCGCAGCGTGGACGAGGACACCGTTGGAGAACGTGACGGCCCAGGGAAAGACCTGGATGATGACAGGACTGCGCTTGGCTTCGGCGGCTTGGATGAAGGCCAGGATGTGCTCCAAGTTGTAGGCAACCGGGGCCTGCACGCCATAGCCCTTTTCCTCGGCCTCCTTCAGGATCTGGTACGTCTTGTTCTTGGTGGGATCCCAGGGCGCCATCTTCATTGACTTCCGAGGGGGTTGTGTTGCGGTGTACTAGGTCGGTATCTGATGCGCGGTTGAAGGTTGGAGATGAAGCCGAATCTCCTGCATCATCCGTGGGTTTGCGTCGATGACCTCGACCGATGCATCGGATTCCCGTCTGGAAGTATGCATCCATCGAAATCCCCCGCAACTGAACCCCCTCCCACTGCTGCGTCTCGAGCCAATCAACAGTGGGACCGGGAGTCAGTCATATTATCACAAAAGGATAAGATCCCCGCTCTGTCCAGTACCGGGGGTTTTGACTGAAACCCGCCGTATCTACTCCGTTCCTTTGCTTCGGCATGGTCTGTTTTAATCACGACGAGGACTGTTAGATATCCGACTTGATATCTAGGGATGTTACCCGTGTTTCTTTCTCGACAATCAATGTATTCTTCATCTCAGAATTGCTACAAGAGACGCGGCTGCAAGCATGTACTATATCCCGTACCAGCGCTTCCCAACTCGGTTCCTAACTCGGTTGAGCCAATACTAGAATCGTGTCGCCATTGTTGACAATCTTTCCAGGTTTCTTGTGGATGGCCTTCACCCGGAAACCCCCCGACCCTCGGGGTGCGGGGACGTTGACTTCCATCTTCATCGCCTCGAGAATGGCAATGACCTGGCCTTCCTCTATCTCGTCCCCTGGAGATACTTCCAGCCTCCACAAGTTGGCAGTCATCGGAGACGTGATCAGAATGCTCGTGCCGTCGTCATCCGTCGCATCGTCGTCATCTTGGGAAGGGGGGTCCTCCTCCACGGATGTCTCAGCCACCCATTCGGCATACAGCTGCTTTTCCACTTGATCCTGCGCAGCCATATCCCTGAGCTGTCGGTCTTTGTAGCTGATGACGTCAGGGTCTGTCTGGGACTTCTGGAATATCTCATATGCTTTCCCGAGATCGAATGTCGACGGTGAGATGTCCCACTGATGCTTGCCCGCGGAGAAGTCCAACATGATGGCGTCGTATTCGTCTACGCTGACCTCGTGGAACTTGACCCTGTCAAACGCTTCAAACAGCCAGGGCCGTTCCTGCGTGAAACCCGGCTTCGTCCCGTAGGGGTCCCACAGCTCCAGGGTTCGAGCGGCCATCATGTACCCGCCTGGCTGTTCACACGGATATGCCGCCAGGATCGTGCCTCCGAGGCCAAGTGTCCCCCCCGGCGTCGACACGCGGGTGGGGTTGTACTTGGGACAGAGGAGCTTCTTGGGGCTCAGGGGAAACAGCATAGGCGCGCCGCAGAGAAAGCCGACCGCAGCGACCAGGTACTCGGTCTTGGTGAGCATCTCGAAAGCATCGCGCTTGGAGGCCAGGCCGTTGCACTTGCGGATGAAGTCCAGATTGTCTGGGAGGTATGCCGCCTTGCTCCTGGTAGTGGCAATGTACTTTCGGATGCATTCCTGGACTGCCGGGTGGTCCATGACAAGGGGCAGTCGGATCTCGCGACAGGGTATAGAGATATCCAGCCTGGTCTCAACGCTGCCTTCGATCCCGTCAACCAGCTTCAGAAGGCTGCCCTGCGTAATCTCCAGAGGGTCGTATTCGATCATGACAGACCCGACATGGGGGGTCAGAAGAGTCAACTTGGGTTCGGAGCGCAGCCTGTCCAGGAAGAGACGGATCCTGGCCAATATGGCTACGTCGGTGACTTGCTCGCCAAACTCGATCAAGAGATACCTGTCGCCTCCCTGAGATGTTCGTCAGAGGAGCTGGTTCCGACACTGTTGATCCATGTATATAGAGATTCTTACCTGTCGGTACGTGACCTTTGGCCTGGGTGGAGTACCCGCAGACGCCTCGACCACTTTGATGATGGCACTGTTAGGCTCGATCGGACAACGAGGTTCCTCAAACCGCGGAAAGCCCTCATCCTCCTTGGTGATGTGATCTCGAATGGCCAGCTCCACTGTCTCGAAATACACGGAGTTGTGGAGTATCTGTTGGATGGAAGAGCTGAGCGATACCGGCGTCATGCAGAAGTCTTCGCCCGGTTTCAGCTGTCCTAGCTTCCAGAGATCGGCGGAGATGACTGTTGACGAGCATATGAGGCCGCCGAAATTGGGACTGTCCGCGGAGAAGATGCAGGGCGAATCGCCTCCCCAATTCACACCTCCTGGTGATGGATAGCCGTAGCTACGACATGTAGTCAGCCTCAGTAGCTCAGACGCCTGGAGTAAAATCGAGCGACCGTCGAACTTACTCGAGGTAGTTTGAGGGATGCGAACCACCCTCGCCGCCATCGGTTCGTGCCCACTGCGGTGCCGGACCGACCATGCGGACTCCGGTTCTGCTCGAGTTGTATCCCACTTTCCACATGGTATTGTATAGCATTTCCCTATCCGCATCAGTCATGATGTCCTGCGAGTCGTGGGGGCCTTGCATGACATAGATCTCCTTGATATCTGTATCGGGTATCAGCGAGGACGGCAGAGTGTACTCCGGAGCTTGGGTAATTGCGTCCGAGTCCAGCTGTAGAAAGTCTCCCTTGCAGAGCGTCCTGCCTTGACAGCCGCCGAATTTCAGGCTAGGTACGGTCGCCTTGGATCCCATGACGATGGGAATTTCGGGAAACCCTCCTCTGACGGCTAGGTAGATGCGACAGCCAGGACCGTCGACGGCGCCGATATTCAGCGTCTGCCCCGGTTTGACGGTGAGGGTAGACCACATCGGCTTCTCGACCCCATCGATCGTAACCCGCGCATGGGCGCCGCAGACCGACACCACTGCACCGGTCGTGAACAGGAGTTCTGGCCCGATCAGCGTGATTTCGATCAGTTCCGTCCCCGACGGGTTACCTGCCAGAAGGTTGGCGACGCGGGCAGATTTACTGTCCATAGGCCCGCCCTTGGGTATGCCATGGCCGATGGTAGGACGTGCGGGGAAGTCTTGCACGGTGGAATAAGATCCTGCGTTGATGACATCGATGCCGCACGGGTGGTAGACAAAGGAGGTGTCGAGGAAATTAGTCAACGTCACACCCTTCGCGAAAGAGTCCGAGTCCATCACGGCGCGTACAAAGTCGAGATTCGTCGCCGGGCCTCTCAGTGCGATATCCTGTGAACACGTGCTGATGAACTTTGCGATGGCCTGATCCCTCGTTCCCGAGTGCACCATGACTTTCGCAAGGAGGGGATCTGGAGCGATATCTATTAGCTGACATGGCAGGATTGAAAGGATATGATGAATTACCATAGTGTAGGCCGACATGTTGGCCAGACTGGATCCAGGTGTCGATCCTGACGCCATCCTGTTCTGGCCAGCGCACTTCCTGCATGATACCGGGGCTCGGTGCAAAGCCCCGGTACGGGCTCTCTGCATAAATGCGAGCCTCAATCGCCGCACCATCGGGGCCGGTCCGTTGTAGACCTTGCAGATCGGAAGATAAGATGCCGCCGTGACCGGCCCGTTCGAGGTCAGCTTGCCGCAGCATGAGGATAACAAGGTCGACTCCGTAGCACAGCTCGGTGATTCCGTGCTCAACTTGCAGTCTGGTGTTCATCTCGAGGAAGAAGAAGTCGCCCGTCTCGTCATCCACGAGAAACTCTACCGTCCCTGCAGACTTGTAGTTGAGCGCTGATGCGTACTTGGTGGCACATGTCGTAAGCTTCTCTCTGAGTCCCGGTCGCATTTCGACGAATGGGCTGGGGCACTCCTCAATGACCTGAATGGCAGATTAGCACTCCAACTACCGCAAGCTTGTGCCATGCACCGAGTAGGTACCTTTTGGTGGCGGCGTTGAATGCTGCATTCCCTCTCGCCAAGGTGAATCACGTCGGTGCCGTTGCCAAAGACTTGCACCTCAATGTGATGGCTCTTGGGGTAATACTTCTCGAGTAGGATGCCGGCATTTCTGAAGAGCTTCTCACCACGGTTGCGCACCATCCCAAAAGCTGCACGTAGGTCCTCGTCTGAGTGACAGACCTGAAGACCCATGCCGCCTCCTCCGCCGGTCGCCTTGAGCATTACCGGATAAGTCAATCTGTCGGCTTCGGCCAGGGCATCGTCTTCCGAGACAAGGAGGCCAGTTCCCGGAACTACGGGGACCTGCACTGACGTGGCAACCTCCCTGGCTCGGTGCTTCAGACCCATCTCCGTGATGGACTCGGAAGAAGGGCCGACGAAGACCATTCCGGCGTCGGTCACCCGAGATGCAAAGTCTACATTCTCGCTGAGGAAGCCGTATCCCGGGATGACAGCATCGATTGAGAGCTGCCTACATTTGTCGAGAATATCGTTCCTGTGCAGTTGTCAGAGTCCGCAACAGGGTGTTGGTATAGTAGTGGTACGATACTTACACGTCAAGATATCCCGGTGTTCCGTCACCCTGCAACAACACCGATTCGTCGGCAGAGGTGACATGAAGAGAAGACGCGTCCGACGCAGTATAGATAGCCACACTGGTCACACCCAAGGCTCGACAAGCGTTGATGCATCTGACAGCAATCTCGCCGCGGTTGGCAATCAGTACACGCCTGATGGCCTGTAGCTGAGGGTGCCCCATGTTTCTTGAAGGAGCCCGGTAGCTGTCGTTCTGTTCCCTTTTACGTTTTCCGGTTTTTGAATGCTGTGGTTGTATCATTCACCGTCGACTGTAAAATAAGTCAACTCTAAACCACGGACAAAGACGGAGATCCGCGAGGTTGTCTACGGAAGGACGCGGGTGACATGAAACGTCTCCCATGGCAGAGGGATAGATGAAGCTACCTCTCTTATCATTGGTAACCGAACCCTCCCTCCAACCGCTGATCACCGAGCCAGAATGGAAAAATTACCCGTTCGGTTGCACGTTCTTCGCACTGACATAGATGATGGAGTCTGGCGTTATCATCAGATCAACTCCTCTCCACTCCCCCCCCCCCCCCGCAACACTAGCGTCCGGTAGACCGAAGTGCACTGCCGCACTAGATAAGAGGGTGGCATGAACTTGGCATTTTACAACGTTCGGTCCGCAACTAGAGCACTCTCTTCTGCTCAATCGGGCTATCCCCTGGAGTCCGCTCATCCGACGAAAGAGAAGGAGGTTCTTGCCAGCGAGCGCCCTTTCAGCATGGACCAGCATGTCAAGAAAGTAGGCATCAATTGCGACATGGGAGAGGGGTTCGGAAAATGGAAGATGGTGAGTACCGATATTATCTAATGTCGCCTCATGACGTAGTTGCAACGTCAAACCCAGCTGAACTGTTCTCGTCTTCTTTTCTCTTTGCAGGGAGCAGATGATGAGCTCATCAAGATTGTGGACTATGCCAATATCGCGTGCGGCTTCCACGCGGGGGATCCCACCATGATGCTGAAGACCATCCGACTAGCCAAGGAGCATGGCGTCAAGATCGGTGCCCATCCGGGACTCCAAGGTGAGTGGCGGCCGTCTTTCAATACGGAGACGCAACGCGCCTGTCGGTGTCAGAGGCTCACCCGAAGCAGACCTCTTCGGCTTCGGTCGTCGGAAGATAGAAGTCGACCCAGAGGACATGTACGCCATGGTCCTGTACCAGGTGGGCGCCCTCAAGGCCATGCTAGATGCCGAGGGGGTTCCTCTGAACCACATCAAGCCTCACGGGGAACTATTCTTCTACATGCAGCGTGACCTGGTCATCATGGACGCCGTGCTCCGAGCTTGCGCTGTCTTCGGCGTGCCGGTGTTCGGGTCCAAAGGTACCGAGTCTCAGGGCGCCATGTGTGCCAAGTATGGGTTGGTCTTTGTGGAGGAGGCGTACGTGGATCTGCAGTATGACAAGCACAGGAAGCTCCTACCGGCCAGGGAGAGCAAGCTCGCGACGGTGGAGGACGTCTATCAGCGGACCATGTCGATCGGGCTCGAGGATTCGGTGACGGACAACGAGGGCAACGTGTTCACGATCGGGTTCGATGGTCAGCCATTTCTGTTTTGCATTCATTCGGATATGCCTACGGCTCTGGAAAATGCCAAGGCTTGTCGAAGGGGGATTGACGAGATCAATCAGAAACGAGGTTGGTAAGAGTAGAATCGAATGTTGACCACCATGAATAGACAAAAAAGAAGAAATGTTCATCAGTCACGCCATCTGTGACGCTTGATTGTTTATCCTGGCTCCTTCCGTAACATTCAACTCCCTCCAGTTAGCATGTTTCGCATGTTGATGTTGAAAGGGAAAGAGGGCCGTCTGAGGCAGGAGCGTGTTGACAAACTGACCGGACCCCCCTGTATTTTTAACCACCTGGCACTTGACCCACTCCTCCTCCCCTAATGGTAAGATGAACCATTAATAATACTAGAGGAATCTTGAGAAATTATCATCACCTTTAAAATGGCTCCTTTCCTCCCCTTCTTATCGGAATCTTTTTTTTTTTTTTGAGACGAAAACTCGTTAGAGAAACGCTCTGGTAGTGTTGCTAAATGTTCTCTTTTTCCACGTGCTTGGAGACAGATGGGTTCAGGCGATTGATTCTAGGGGTTGATTCAACTGATAAAAATATTAGGCAGGCCAGTTTACGATGTGTGCACGGCCTAAGGCAGCTATCAATGTGAACAAGCCATTTCCTCCTCCTTCATCCCACATTTAACTGCGAAGTAATATTGCATCTAATACTGCTTTCGATGCTCCTCGACCGGAATCGTCTACTTCCATGGGGACGTGGAATGCTTTATCGCGTGAAATCGTCGTCAATCAAGCATAGAGAGGGGGGGGGGGGTCCAAACCTCCGGGATATTGATACCTCAACCACAATTGACGCTCTGGTATCTCTAATATTGGTTCATCTTCGGATCTTGTGATTGTCGGTAAGCACATTCCCATGGATAAATGCTTCATCCACAGTGCTACTCCGAAGTGAATGCTCGCTCGTTGCGGTGATCTCTCTACTTCTAGAGCTCCGTGGATATACTGTTTATCTTGGCAGCTTGCTGGGTCATGGACGTCATCAGCAGCGCAAGATCGCGACCTGCCATGGCAAACCTTTATAATGTCAACACACATACACATCGGTCTTGCGAAGCAGTGGGTGGTACTTTACCTGATGGGAGCATGCCTCTTTGCGAATGTTGACAAGAGATCAGGGCGAGGTTCCAGTCCGCCCAGTCCAACAAACACCTTCCGATCGCCTGCACTGGCCTTTTCAGCAGCGGCAGCCACTTTTGCAACTGTCGAATGGAATAGCTCTGTGTCGTATTGTCCCGGAATTCCAAGCCTGGGCACTTGTGAGTCGTTATGGGACAACGGAAAATCGGAGATGGAGAACGTAGACAGCTTCACTCACTCCATGCACAAGTCCGCGCATCCGATAAACAAGGCATCTATTCCCGGCACTGCTGCTATTTCCCTGATACGTCTTTGTCAGCTCCAGCCTGGCAGATCCTTATTGAAGGAGGCTCATGTGAGGACAGCATACTCAACATTGTCGACACCCTCCTGGGATTCGATCATTGGCATGATCATAACTTCGTTATTGACAACCTCGGAGATGGTCGCATACGAGAGCTCTGTCGTATACTGCGTCATGGCAGACACCATGGTGACAGATCTATGGCCCTGAGACGAGTCAGTCATAGCGTCCGGCCTCTGAAGTCGATGGGCACAAAGTGTCTGCCTTACCAGAGGCGGGAACTTGGAAGCATCGACACACATCCTGGCCTGCTCGACATTGTTGACATGAGGCACAATGATTGTCTGCGCTCCAGAGTCAAGGCACCTTGAGATCCATTCGGGAGCACACGTTGGGACGACAACTGTGGGCGTGATTCTGCAACAATGTAAGCTCCAGCTTGGCTGTCGCGGCAGCCATCCATCTGCTCCTTCAGCCAGGTAGACATTCGGGATGGCACCTACCCCACGTTCAAACAGGAGACTGCAATGTCCTTCATCGTCTCCATGCTCATCGCCATGTGTTCCAAGTTCATCAAGATGGCAGAGTACCCTGCACGCTTCGCCACCAACGGCATTTCCGTTGAAAATGCCACTCTCAGGCCAAACGAGTGTGCTAACCTGTTTCCAAGCATCAATTCCTTCACCAGGTTCGGCCGACACACATTGCGTGCAAGCTCCATCTGATCCGGTGAAATAGTGGTCATGTTGGTGTATTCTCCAAAGCGGTACAGTTTCAATGATTTCGATCAGATTCTTTTCCCCTCATCTGGCAAGAATCTCTTTCTCATAAGTATCCGAGAGCCAAGTTCCCCCGTGATTCAATCCAGAAGCTAAGATTTGATATCTTGTCTCTGTTCCGTGATAAGAAGGTGTGCATGGTCACCTTCGGTGTTTGTCCGAAACCGCTATCGCCAACCATGTCTGATCGGCCTCCCGAGTCCGACAGAATCCCGAATGCTACCATCGACACTGCCGTGTGAATAGTCAAGATAGGGGGGGTAGGAGTCGAAGCTTTCAGCCCGCCAAGAACAACAACATATATACAATACTGTGTGAGATATGAGATATCGCCGACACTGACCGATGATATGCCACACTACAAAGGCCCTTGCATCCTCCATATTGTCTGTGCCGTCGCTCGACTCTTCGCCGTATCTCCATAGTAGCATACTTCAAATCCAGGGAGAAAAGGAAATTGACATGGAGGACGACAAGGTTCACGAACCAAACTTGAAGCCACAGGCTTCTCCTGCCTCGGCAGCCTCAGTAGGCGTCGGCATGGTTTCTGCTGAAGAAGAGGCCCGAAATGTATCTCTTGCAAAGAAGTTTCTTTATCACCTCTGGGATGCCGACCAGCACCTCAAGAGCCCCGAGGTAAGCTTTGCCAATCCTTTCGGGAATCGTGATGAAGACCGCTGACCAGCTGTCAGGAACGCGCACTGGTTAGGAAGCTGGATTTTGGCATATTGATATGCGCGACACTAGGATGGGTGAGAGCCACCCCGTCTAGAACTGATGGTGAGGGTTAACACATGATCAGTGGATGAAATACATTGATCAGAGCAACATCACCAATGCCTGTGAGAGACTCAATAGCTCTACCGCATTCTCTCATAACCAGGTGCTAACCCACTCGAAGACGTCAGTGGCATGAAAGAGGACCTCAATATCGAAGGAAATGAGTATACTTATATGCTCAGTAAGTAAAAGATGTGAGGTACGGGCGAGGACGCAAGCTAATCGGGTGGATGAAAGTGTGCTACACCATTGCCTTTGCTATAATGCAGATACCCTCCAACATGATTGCCCTCAAGGTCACTCCTCGTATATGCATTGTAGTGTGCGAGGCGGGATGGACAATCTTCACGTCAGTATCGCAGACTACGACCGCGAGAGAGCTTCTACCTGCAAAACTGACACTGACGAGATCACCGTATAGCTTTGCGCAGGCCTCTGCACGTAGTAGCAGAGACATGTACGCCTTCCGCTTCATGATCGGAATATTTGAGTCCGGCTTCTCACCGATAATCATATTCCTGTTTGGCTCTTGGTACACCCGATCCGAGTTGGCAAAGCGAATAGCAATCTGGCACATCACCGGCTTCTTCGGCTCGGCCACATCTGGCTTCCTCCAGGCCGGTATACACAAGTCATTGGACGGCAGCCTCGGACTGTCAGGATGGCGATGGATGTACATAGGTATGATGACGTCTTACCACATCGCAACACGTATGTATACATACTGAAGAGTTGCAAGTGTGTGGTTGCATGTCTTTGCCTGTGGCTGTGTCGGTATGGTTCCTCCTACCCGATTTCCCTCACAATACCACAGCCTGGTACATCACCGAAGCAGATAAAGAGATTGCGATGCGTCGCTCAGCAAGGCAGGGAACCGTCCACGTCACAGGACGCTTGGATCTGGCCCTGCTCAAGCGCATGTTCGGAAACTGGCGCTGGTGGACCTTGTGTCTGATGTACATTTTTGTAAGTCCTCCCCCCCTCGGCCATGGCCATGTGCATGAAGAGCAGGATGGGTACTGATATCATGTATGCAGTATGGGAACTCGTGCCAGGCAAACAGCTACTTTGCAATCTATCTTCGTGAGTACAGGCTGGCATGGGCTTCAAATCCAGCCACTGACACTTGCTTAGGTGAGGCCGGGTACAGCGTCACTAAGCGGAACATAATTCCGGCCATGGCCAACCTGGTCAGCATGGTGACTGATTACGGCTGGGGGTCCTTCTCGGACATGACGGGATCGCGGTCTATATGGATTGTCGGACCCCTGGTAAGTTAACCTTGACATGAGAAGGGAGGCCCCTATATGCTGATGCTGTAAAGTTGTGTACCACTGTCATCGGATCATCTATCCTAACGGCCTGGCCTCCGTCAGACGCTGCTAAGGTCGTCGCCTTTTTCTTCGTATCTGGTGGTTATACCACTGCAGTTGCCTGGGTAAGTCCTTGCGTTTTCTTTCCCTAGAAGTATCTGAAGATGATGCCTAACTTTGGCTGCAGACTTGGGCCAACGAGATCAACAGGGGCAATGCAGAAGAGAGAGCTCTGACGATATCGAGCATGAACGGCCTGTTCTATGCAACTAGTAAGTAGAACACCGCGGGTTCGGTCGACCCAAGGCTGACATACACCTAGACTCCTTCCTCCCTATTCTCATATTCCCTCAGACCATGGCACCTACGTTTGAGAGAGGGTTTCCGTCCATTCTTGCTTTCGCCTTGGTAGCCATTGTTCTAGTTGGTAAGTTGGATGAATACGTCCTCTCTCTCGACCTCACGTGGGCTTAACTAACTATCCACTTGCAGTACTTACGGATTTCCTGCACAAAAGACAGCTGGACCGAGAGGCCAAGGCAGCCGCCAGCTTGCCAGCTTCTGAGCGCCTAGGACTGGATATCGAGCAGCACGACCCTTCGGCGCCGGTCGAGGAGGCCAAGATTTAGTTGCACAGCCCGTGGTATTATACGTGATGCTTCAAGCACATGGGACAATCATAGTTTGCGTATGAAACCGTTCATTGCCTACGATCGATTCATCATGACGGTTCATCGGCTTATCTGTTGACTCTATGCCGACAAACATATCACTACTAGTAGGACATCTGTAGGCGTTCCTGCCCGTATTCTATATACGCCAAGTTTTGTCATGCTGAAGATCTACCGTATTCCTATTTCTCGAGTCTCCAAACTCTCCCCTCGCTCTTGCATGGCTCTGATATCACATAGAGCTGCCGCCAGTCTATCTATGCCTTCTCGAATCTCGTCTTCCTCGTGCCAAGCCCAGCATAATCGGATGCATGCAGAAAAGCCACCGGTCGCAGCAGCTCTCTGCATGCTAGTCTCGTCGCCCGTGACAGCAAACATGCTGCCAAACGCAATCCTCAGGTTATATTCCGTCAGACAATAGGCCGCGACATCCTTTGCCTGGGGCATGCCATCCGGTAATCTCAGGTACGAGAAAAAGCCGCCCGCTACCCTGGCTGCACCGTCTCGAAATGAGCTTGACTCGACTCGGACGCCCAGGGGCGTCAGGAGCTCCGCGACTGCAGCATTGAGGGTGCAGTATCGGGCTCTGTAGGTTGGGACCAGCACGTTCTGGATGTGACTTTGGAGCCCTCCCCTTCGGAGCATCTTGTCGACAAATGTTGAGGTGAGGTGAGAAGGCGCACCGCCAGAACTTGAAGAGCCACTAGTGACACAGAGCGATACCGTCATCAGATCCGTGCTTTCTGCATGGGGTCGACCGACTTACATCTCGGCCAACTCAACTGCGAGTGCAGGTGCACAATCTGCCCATCCGACACGGACACCCGGGCCTATGATCTTGGAGAAAGAACCGTTGCTCAATGTGTTTCCCCATTTCCCATAGCCATCCAAGCCGCGGTCTATGTCCACTAGGCGGGGTGGGACACTGCTCATCTGGTCTGTTTCTTCCGACCGTTCTGGCCAGCTTAGAAAATCGTACACGTCGTCGGAAACGATGAGCGCGTCGTAGTCTCTGGCTAAGCAGACGAGGTCCTTTCTCTTCTGAACAGACATGCAGTTTCCACCGGGATTTGAGAATGTCGGTACCACGTAGATAATGTACTTGTAGATCTTGGAATATGCCTTTCCGACTTTGCGAGCTGGCGCATCGGCAATGCCACCATACCGTGCTGCCTCGCAGGCTGCATCTTCTGCCACTGCCAGCTCCCGGCGAAGAAACTCGATGTCCAGCCCCCCATCATCCTGTTCCGGGACCCCTCGAAGCTTCCCCTGGAACCCGTTATCCTCGAAAATGGGACATGCCAGAAAGTATGTAGGCTCGACCATGAAGATCCTCCTTGTGTATAGAGGATCTGTAAATTTTTGTAGAACATTAGAGAGGTTCCCGGATGCGCCATTGGTGATACATAACCGGTCAAAGTTCACAGGACGGGAGTATACTGATGATAGCCACCCTGCGATGCTCCGTCGGAGCGGCGGGTGGCCGATATGAGGTCCATACACGAGGGCTGCACACGTTTCCGTCTCGGAGGTGAGCACTTCCTGGGCGCCATGAAGCAGACTTTCAGAGGAAAATAATCTGGGTGATGGCCAGCCGAGCTGTAGATTGATCAATCTGGCCGGATGCCGGGCTGATTCGGTCGGGTCGCTACTCATTGTAGTAGGTGATACGGATGCTGAAACTGAAGGGAAAAGCTATGCGTAGATCACGTTGAGCTTACAGAGTGGGCAATACTGAATTGTATAAAGACAATCTGGGGTAAATTCTCATATGTCGTCAGCATATCTACTCCATAATACATGACTTGTAAACAGACATCGGCACATAGTATCGGGCGCTAGGCGTATGAGGCCGATAAGGTCCGACCGGTCGGACCTTTCGTCCGGGTCCTGGCCGCCGACGATGACGTGGCAGCAAATGGGGAGTCCGTTTTGATAGGTCATCTTGATGAGTGTTTTTTTCTAGAGATGCGAATATCTTGAACGACAGATATGGAAACGACTGTATTTGTTTTTACGTGTGATCAAGCCTGTCAACTTCCCGACTTACTGCCACCCTGCAGCCACCCACTTATGGCCCCGAGTCGACACTGGATCGTTAAATGGCAATTCTTCTCGTTCAAGAAATTGGAAAGCTTGGTTGTAGATGCTTATGCTTGGCAATGTCTGACGAGGGTCGTTCAATTGGGAGAACGTAGGAATGATACTCATCGCAGGAGCACTTTAGGTAAGATGACCTTTCATCTCTGGATAATGATGGGAGCGAGACAGGATGCTTCGAGGTATCTTCAGCCGATGTTTGCCGCGCGGGTGTCTTTGGGTGGTCAACTGAACTGGCAGTTAAGCTCTTGCCCACGGCGAGACAAGTTTCTTCAGGGCCGAGAGGCTACTGACGTGAGAAGCATATGACGCGCCACGGGAGGGGAGGGCTGACACAAGTCAGAAACAGCTCTGAACCCTCATGGTCAAGGCGGGTGGGGAGGAGGGGGRGGGGGGGGGGAGAGCGTCCATGCTTGACGTGGCGTCAGGTGTTAACGATGGCCGCTGGTACTCAGTCAGTGGCGGATGGTGGTATCCCTCGTTAGACTTGGAAAACCTCGAGCATGGAAGGACACGATTGCATATTTCCTGGAATGCGCTCAGCATACATAGGCACGGCATCTTGCATGCTGACTTCTGTACATATTCGCCTTCCGATGCCGACATTGAGCACATGCTGAGACTCTTGGCTGCTTGACCGGTTGTTCTACGTCGGCCGAGTGTCTTCCCCTGATGGCTAACCGAGGAATGTAGGCATGCGCTTGCATTTCTTCCTTGGAAGTTGGTGGGTATACGACGTGTTGGCGCAGTGAGGAGCCAATGAGGAATATACGGGTAGATGATGAACCTATCTCCTTCCTGAGACATCGCCGAGCTGTCTCGGAAGGTGAAGATCTCGGAAGATGAAGGTTTCAGAAGATAAAGGCACGAGAGGTGGAGTAACCCTGCCACCAGCCGTGTAGCGCATGTGCTCGCGATCCTTGGAAGCATACATGTACAGGAAGATGTCATTTAACCGTCCCAATCACAAACGGCAGCGTCTATCAGCGGAGAACGATGCCCAAGGTGATGGCTAATATAAGACGAGTATAAGATCAGGCTTGTGAAACCTTATCCCCGATCGACATGATTACGAACATACGGTTGCGTTACTACTATCCCTCCTCTCTCTCGGGTCTGGTGTTTTGTCTATGCTTTTAGAGCCTAGGCCCTAAACCCAGAACTCAAGATGCATATACCGTTCCCGTTACCTCTTCAACCATCTTGCTTAGGACTTCAACCCGTCCTCCCCCCCCTTTCAGACGGAAGGAAACGCCGACATCGGTAAGGATACGAATTGGTATGAATCGTACATCTTGTCACTGTTCCCTGATGGGATGGAATCAAGTCGAAGATGGTGCAAAGTAGCAATAACGCTGCCAGTCAAGAGTAAGGCGGCGCTGTTTCTCCATTCTCCCGGCTTTAACGCTTTATTTTTCTCTCTCAATCTCCACATGTATCGACGGCTGGTCTCATAACCCTAGCGTACCGTTTTCTTGACCGGCTTGAATCCACTGTCTCACATAGCCGTTTTCACCTAACGAGTCACGGCTTCACTGTCTTTTCATAACACTGAAACCCACAGTCACCGCGCCTTTATCTCGCCGCTTGTTCACGGGGACCCGGACTCAACCCAGATCAGAAAGGGGCCGACTATCCGGACCTTTTGGCGGGATCTACTAGAAGCAGGGCTGCAATGGCCTGAGAGTGGGATCATACGTGTAAGGACATGATTGTACACGTAACAACGGTACTTGTCATATCGGGATTTCGTGGCCTTCAGCAGTAAAGGCTGCGCCGCGAACAGTTCCATTTTCTCATTGAGCCCTACTGTCGCTATCGCTAAGGTTGCCAAGGTTCCACATTCTTTACCGCATCCAGGTTACCCAGATGCTTTTTCTTTTGTCTGAAATTACACGGCGACTGGGAAGAGCTTCTCACTGTGCATCGTCACATGAATATTGTCAAACTCGTGTGTGTCTTGGCTATCTAAACCTATCTACTGCTACCAGGTATTATTGCATAGTTTGTCCGTCCTAGTGTTGTGGTTTATCGCCGACATACCTCTTCCGTATGGTGCCTCCACAGACTCAGATCAGGCCCTTCCAAGACGGCGGTCCAACCATCAAGATTCACGCTTTTCCGAGTTGAACAACTGCCTCATAGCCAGAGTACGGACGTGGACCGACTGTTCATCCAGAGTCAAGACATTCTCAGGTATCGGAATCATAGTATCCATGATAAACTAGACTTGATTTGCCCGACATTGAGGTAGCCGTATTCTGGAGAATTTGGACACGATTATCAAAGTCCTCATTATGGAAGCACGGGTCGAAGAAGTAGATATCCGCCCCCTATACCTACTGTTTGCTACTCATCGAACTGGTTTCCACGGGCAATGCTGACATCATTGTTCTCAGCAGCAGTCTCGATGCCTTCTTTGACTACATGAGGGATATCTTGGACAATGAATCTTAGCCCACGGACGGCTTTGGCTAGGGCCACAGAGGTATTCCTAAGGTTCCGGCAAGCTCAATGTCAAATTGGTCAGAAAAGAAGTACATAGGCCAATGAAGTGGTGATAGACTTCGGGAAGTCTCGCAACCACAACCAGCGCATTGCCCAACATTTTCCAGTCAAAGCCGCAAACAGGTTGCTTCAAGTCGCTCCGAGGGCTCCTGGAACCAGAACACATTGCATCACTAGATATGTCATGGAGATTGGGGTCCTTGGTAGCATCTCGACACATTGCATCGTCGGTGTTGAAGGAAACGTTGAAGGGTGTCGTTGTTTGTGGCCATTCTGCATGGGTAGTGACCAACCCCCCGATCCGCAACGAAGGCCGCAAACGTGGACGGGTAGGCAACAGAGTCTGAAATTGGCTCGGCACAGAGGTAGTTGGCCACGTCCATTCGGGCCAAGCCCTTGAGCCGTTGCTCCATAACGCCCGTCTTCGCGGCCAGCTCGGTATATGAGATAGTGTCCGCAAAGGGAGCCAGGTTGAATATATTGGAGTAATGCTTCTAGTAGATAGCCTGGTTGCTTTTCATCTGTATCCAGAAGGACGTGTGATTTTGGAACCTCTGATCAATGAGTGCATCATCAAATGATATTCAACTCCAACTGATTTCAGGAACGTAGTTCATACTAACACTGGGATCGTACAGGTAGGTATTCGTCGGTGACAGAAGAGAGCCGGAAGATGTTCCGTGCATGGTCACAATTCATCTCCTCGACGATTTGTAGTAACAATATATCTCAGAGGACATCCGATCCGAGGGAAGACACTGAATGGGCACATTGCGTTTGAAGCTAGGCTAGCAAAGATCGTCTGTACGCAAGCAGTCTCAATCATCTGTGTCTGCTTGGAGATATCGTGGGCCAACACCTCGATTGGTAACGACTCTCTGGAACCGCTGGCAGTCTCGTTGGTGGACATGATTGATGGTTGTGAAAACACTATTGTGATTGATGACTGGAAGTATGACTTGAATGCAAGGATGAGGCGATAGTTGAAGGCGTATCATGGACCTCATTCCTCGAGGGCAAATGGCGAAGGTCTGGAATGGTCATGACGGCCTGGAAACACAACTCCCCACAGAACTGACTCTCTATTCGCAAACATCAAGATATCGGGCCCTCAGCTGTTCAAGGTTCTCCGAACCCTGGCGCTCTCCGTACCTATAGACTTTTGTTGGATGATGGGGACATGTATGCTTTCCAGCGATGTAGCATACGAGGATTTTTGGCTTTCCCTACTCTCCTTCGCCAACGTCACTCCCGAAAACACGATGATCGCAGCAGGTAATAGAAGAGGGGAAGTGTAGTCTCAGCCACCCAAAGCCATGTTCTCACTTTACGAGGTTGAATGTGAGTGTGGGTCAAATGGTCCGTGTAGTAGCCGAGTATTGTCATATATAGACCTCATTTCTCTGTCATTGGAACGAGGGGCCAATATTCGGCACATGATGAAAACTTGGACGATTATTGAATCTTGCAGAGATATGAACACTACTTCGCAATCATGTCAAAGTGTGTGTACGTCTTTGGTGACCAAAGCAGTCCAGTACTCGACAAGTTAGACGGCCTCTTGCGCATCAAGGACAATGCGCTCCTCGCCTCCTTTTTAAATGAGGCATTCCTGATTATCAGTCGCGAGACGAGGTCACTCCCATCCGCCGACAGGGTCTCCGTCGCACAATCAGAAAGTCCGAGTCTCCTCATCGAGGCGGTGCGTAGGGGAACAACGCACGCCACCTTAGAAAGCAGCTTCTTATGTATCTACGAGATCGGCTACTACATCGAGTGAGTCGAAACTTGGGAAAACAGTGAAAGAAACATATACGTGAGGCTGACATGCATGAAGCTCCCTTTCTCGATCACAGAGACAGCATCCACCACCTTGTCCGTCTCTGGTTCTCGGGATATGCACAGGAGCAATAGCTGCTGCTTCCGTGAGCTGTTCCGTCAACGTATTCGAGATCTCGAGACTGGGCCTTCAAGCCGTCACCGTCGCCTTCCGGACGGGATTTCACGTCGGGAAAAGAGCCGAGCTCCTTGGTTACCCGACAGCCAGCAGTTGGTCCATGATCGTGTCTCTGGATGACGAGAATCTCGTGACACAAGTTTTGGAGCGGATCTCAGCCGACGAGGTTGGTAGTAGACCATCTGGCATACGCCGCATTCACGACGAATCAAGTCTGTTGTACTCACACGTTTCCGCAGGGTTTACCGGCAACGTCAAGGCCGTACATCAGCGCAGTTGGGACGGGATGTACCACCATCAGCGGACCCCCAGCCATTCTCGAGTCACTGAGGTCACTGGATGCATTCTCTGGGAAGAAGCTATACCCTGCCCCGATTTATGGTCCTTATCACTGCTCATCGGAATTCACAGACTCCGATCTAGGAGGTATTCTGGAGGATGTCCTCAGGGGCATTCAGTTCCTAGATAATAAGTCCTTAGTCCCTCTTGTCTCTTGCTTTTCCGGCGAAGCCGAGGAGGATTCCAGGTTTGGAGCCCTCCTAGAGAAGGTCGTCAAGAGTGCCCTTGTAGAGCAGGTTCGTATGGACCGTGTTGCAGAGTCCCTGTTGAGATTCGGCTCGGGCGGAGACACGACAATCATCCCAATCAACACCCAGGCGGCGTGGGGTCTTGCAAACCGGCTGTCCCAGCAAGGTGCTTCTACGCGCATCGCCGGGACTTCAGAGGACCTGGAGAAGAATGAGAGCACAGCACACTCGTTCTATCCGACGGTGGCACCGGGTGACGAGAGAAAAATAGCAATCGTTGGGTTCAGCGGACGATTTCCGGAAGCGGATGATCTCGAAGAATTCTGGGACCTTCTTGCCAGAGGCCGAGATGTTCACAAGCCGGTCCCTGAGGAGCGATTTTCCCGGGACCACTATGATCCAACTGGTCAAAGGAAGAATACGAGCCAGGTTCAGTACGGATGCTGGTTGAAGTCGCCAGGATATTTCGATACCCAGTTCTTCCACTTGTCGCCAAAAGAGGCCATGCAGACGGACCCGATGCAGCGTCTTGCCCTTCTTACCGCGTACGAAGCGCTAGAAATGGGCGGCATCGTCCCTGACCGTAGTCCCTCCACCAAGAGACATCGCGTTGGCGTCTTCTATGGTGCTTCCAGCACCGACTGGGGTGAGGTGAACTCGTCTCAGGATGTAGACACCTACTACATCCCAGGCGCCAACCGTGCCTTCATCCCCGGCAGAGTCAACTACTTCTTTAAATTCTCGGGCCCGAGCATCGCCGTCGACACAGCCTGCTCTTCGAGCCTTGCGGCCACGAACATCGCCATTACGGCTCTGGTCAACGGAGAATGCGACACGGCAGTGGCAGGCGGTACTAATGTCTTGACAAACCCGGACAACTTCGCTGGTCTCGACCGCGGCCACTTCCTCTCTCGGACAGGAAATTGCAAACCATTTGATGACAGTGCGGATGGCTACTGCCGGGCTGACGGTGTCGGGACCCTCATTCTCAAGAGGCTACCGGATGCCGTGGCAGACAAAGATCCCATCTTTGGCGTCATTCTAGGAGCTCTTACGAACCACTCAGCTGAGTCGGTCTCCATCACGAGACCCCTTGCGAACGCGCAGGAGTACCTTTTCAAGCAGCTCCTGGCAAACACCGGCATTCGGCCCCATGATGTCAGCTACGTTGAGATGCACGGGACTGGAACCCAAGCTGGCGACGCTGTCGAGATGAGCTCCGTCCTCAGCTCGTTTGCCCCAGACTATAGCCGGCCGCAGGATAAGAGCCTTTATCTCGGCACCGTCAAAGCAAACATCGGTCACTCCGAAGCCGCCTCAGGCGTCCTCTCCGTCATAAAGGTGCTTCTTATGATGCAGAAGAACAGGATACCTCCCCACTGTGGCATCAAATCAAACATAAACCATTCTTTCCCCACAGATCTCGATCTTCGAGGTGTAAAGATTGCACTGGACGATGAAGTGGAATGGCCGCGTCCAGCAGATGGCAGGAGGAGAGTCCTCGTCAACAACTTCTCTGCCGCAGGTGGAAATTCTTCGATTCTCCTCGAGGATGGCCCCGCAGATACGCGCGTCGGATGTGACCATGACCAGGTCACAGATCTACGAGAAGAACACATAGTCGTGGTCTCAGCCAGATCTAACAAAGCCTTGGAAGAGAACCTTAGGGCCTTGAAGGCTTTCATAGCCAACCCGCCTCCTCCCGGTGGTGATCTTTTGTCGCAACTCTCTTACACCACCACGGCTCGCCGCATACACCATAATCGCCGTATGGCGTTTGTCGCTAGCAACCTCAAAGATCTTCAGGGATGCCTGTCTGCGGCGGTGGAAGTCGCCGCCGAGGTGAAGGCCGTCCCCGCGGTACTTCCCAAGGTCGGCTTCCTCTTCACCGGTCAAGGGGTCCAGGAGTCTGGCATGGCAAAGGCCTACTTCCAAAACTTCTCTTCTTTCCGGTCCGACATCCATGAATTCGATTCCATCGCCAAGGCTCAGGGGTTTCCGTCAGTTCTTCCTCTTGTCGAGGGAAAAATCTCTGTCGAGGACCTCTCGGCTGTAGTCGTCCAGCTTGGGACATGTATCATACAGATGGCTCTATCCCGTTTCTGGATCAACCTAGGGATCAGGCCGCAATATGTCGTTGGCCACAGCCTCGGGGAATTTGCCGCGCTCCAGGTCTCGGGTGTCCTCAGCATCAACGATACAATCTATCTATGTGGCCAGCGAGCGTCTCTTTTGGAAGAAACATGCACAGCCAACACGCACGGGATGGTTGCCGTCAGGGCAACTGCTGAGGCGCTGAGAGAGTACCTGCCAGGTACATTGGTCGAGGTTTCTTGCATCAATGACATCCAGGATACCGTTCTGAGCGGCTCCAACGCTGATATCGTTTCCTTCTGTGACAAGATCAAGGAGAAAGGTTTCAAGTATCATCGGTTGGAGGTCCCGTTCGCCTTCCATTCATCACAGGTTGACCCGGCTCTAGACAAGCTCGAGAAGCTCGCTTCTCACGTGGAGTTTTGTGGCCCGGCAGTACCGATGGTGTCGACTCTGCTGAGCAAGGTCATCACTACGGGGGGTGTTGTTGGTCCTCAGTACATCCGACGTCACTGCCGTGAGACGGTCAATTTCCTTGGTGCCATACGGGAAGCCCAAGCCGAAGGATTGATGTCGCAAGGCGGCATGTGCATCGAGATTGGAACTCATCCGATCCTTACGAGGATGGTCAATTCCATTGTCGGACAGGGCTTACAGTGCTATGCCTCTCTTCGTCGCAAAGAGAACATCTTCAAGACTCTGGCGAGCTCGCTTTCCTCTATTCATCTAGCCGGGTTGCCTGTGGTCTGGGACGAGTACCATCGCGACTTCCCGTCCTCTCACAAGTCACTTACTCTACCCCGGTATAGCTGGCAACTGGCAAACCACTGGATACAATACAAGAACTGGTGCCTCAACAAGGGAGACGATCCTCTGCCAGGGACCGGCAGCGCAGACTATTCCGTGAAAGAAGAGAAGACCAGGCTGTCTGATGCGGTGCACGAAATCATCCAGAAAGATTTTGGAGATAAGAAGAGCTCCATTGTTATGCAGTCCGACATGAACGATCCAACTCTTCGAAAGGTCATGCAACAGCACGTTGTTGTCGGCTTGGCCATGTCCCCATCAGTGAGTACAGATTCCTTCGACAGACTCTGCAGGGTGGAAACCTTCAGCCCATGAAGGAGAGGCATGTATATGTACTAATGATTGGATGACCTGGTGGCCCCTTGTAGACATTTTATGCGGACGTGGCCTTCACTTTGGCCAGCTACATGATTGAGAACCATGGCGGTGACATTGCTACCTACCTGCCCTGCGTCAACAACATGCTCCTTGAGAGACCTCTCCTTTTCGATGAGCATGCCGAGTGCCAGTTCTTCCGCGCGTCGATGGACATCGACTGGGAATCCATGAGCGGAACCATGCGGCTATACAAGGTGGACAGCGATGGTGAGGAGACAGCACTTCAGGCGACCTGCGATGTCAGTATCGAGGATCCAAAGACGAATGCCGAAATCTGGAAGAGCCGTCTGTACCTCGTCGAGAGGAGCATCTCCCAGCTGACCCAGGGGCCCAGCAATGGCTCAACACATGTCATGGGTAGCGGGATGCTGTACAAACTCTTCTCCGCCGCTGTTGAATACGGGCCTGACTTCCATGGAATCCGAAAAGTCTGGTTTGACAGCCGGGCCCTCGAAGCCACCGCCGATGTCATCGTGGCCCCTACCGGCGGCAACTTCGTTCTCGACTCGTTCTGCCTTGACAGCGTCGGTCACCTTTCGGGGTTCATCATGAACTGCGCCGACAGCCTAGACCTCGATGGCAACGTCTATATAAACCACGGGTGGCGTTCTCTGACCTTGGTCGAGACCTTGCAGTGCAATGTGCACTATCAGTGTCATGTCAAGATGCACCCCGTTGGTTCTGACGACTCCATGTACGTCGGCGACGTCTACATTCTCCGCGATGGCAAGATAATTGGCGTCTTTTCCGGGCTTACGTTCCAAAAGTACGTGCGCAAGGTACTGGAGATGATCATGCCCAATCGTTCGGCGAGCAAGCCCAAATCGACACATCCCAATATCGGAGCGTCAGCGTCTAGATCGAATGCTCAACAACACACCGTGACCGGCTTAGAGTCATACAAGAAAGGAAGGCCCGCCGCTTCTCCCTCCTCTTCCAACCCTCTCCTTCAAAAGGCATTGAAAATCGTTGCCGATGAGATTGGAGTTGAACATACCCAGCTGGCCGACTCGGCCGTCTTGACTGAGCTGGGGGTAGACTCACTCATGTCCTTGACCATTTTGGGAACCTTTCGCGAAGAGCTCTACATAGATATCGCCTCCCCAGACTTCTACGGCTGCGCCACTGTGAGGGACTTGAAGGATTTGGTAAACGGAATCCTGGGCATCACCGATGAGAGCACCCCCAACTCATCCTCGGATTCGGACTACAAGGCGTCTCTCACGACCCCCACTACCGATTATTCGAATCCATCATCACCAGATGCAATGCACGAGGAGGAATTCCTTGTCTCCCCCAGAGTTCCTCCATCGGGATCTTCCGTTTTGCAAGGGACGGTACACTGCCCCAAGACACTATTTCTATTTCCCGATGGCTCGGGATCAGCAACCTCCTACAGGGATCTGCCACACATCGCGCACGATCTGAGAGTCATCGGTCTGGACAGCCCATACCTGAAATCTCCCAAGGACTTCACCTGTGGGATCCATGACATCACGGACTCTTATCTCGACGAGATTCGCAGGCGCCAGCCCCAGGGGCCATACTACTTTGGCGGCTGGTCGGCGGGGGGCGTCTCGGCCTTTGACGCGGCGTGGAGGCTCGCCAGAGAGGGCGAGGTTGTGGAAAGACTGGTACTGATCGACTCTCCGAACCCGACGGGCCAGGCCGTGATCCCCAAGAGCATGTACGATTTCCTGCAGAAACAGGGTTTGTTTGGGAGCCCTGAGGCGGGAAGCAGCGCGGAACCTCCAGAATGGCTATACCAGCACTTCGATGCGTGTGTGAAAGCCCTGCACCGCTACGACCCGAGACCGTTTGAGCAGGAATCCCCCAAGACCACCATGATCTGGGCCCGGGATGGTGTGTGCAAGAGTCCCGACATGCCGCGCCCAGAGGCGGGTCCTGGTGATAGTCATGCCATGGATTGGCTTCTCGAAAACAGGAACGACTTTGGGCCGAATGGCTGGGAACGGTTGATCAATGTCAAAAACATCAACACCATCTCCATAGAAGATGCCAATCACTTCTCTTTGGTGAGGCAGCCGGCAGCGTCTCGACTGTGTCCCATCATCAGCGAAGCTCTTGAGCTGGATCCGGCTCAGTGAGGGAAGCGGATGCATGGGTATTCATGTCCGAGGTTCCACACATATACAGTAAGGTTGAATTATTTACAAAGCTCCCGAAGATCCTTCTCTGACGGGCAATGAAGAAGGAAAGAAAAAGAAAAGTTTCGTCGATTCGGATCCACCATATTCAGGCTGCCGACTGCCGCCGCATCCTGGGCAGAGACATCGGGCGAGAGTAAAGCCCGAGTCGGGGTCGAGTGGAACCCTGCGAGGAGTAAGGATGCCGGACTAGGCCTTGACGATATCTACAACCAGCTACTACTAATACTAATACATATCGGGGCACCGAGGGGGCACAAGAAGCCTGAAGAAGAAGATGATGACGATGTAAAGAAGCTAGCTAATCTGAGATTGTGTGGCCAAAGAAGGGCTCCTCGCTTGCCACTGCGGACAAGAAGGGTAACAAGAAATAATCGCATACAAGCAGTAACAAGATCTGGTGGTGAATATGCTATGGAGCAGAGCAGATACTAGGCCCTGAGGGGCTAACAAGAGTCCACAACTACAAGTCTCCAACGTTGGCAGAATACATCAACTGTCTTGTCTGTCTTCTGCTGATGCCCATTCATCGAAAGCCCACACTCATCGAGCCTGTCATTCATGGAACCACTGAGAAGCGTCTAGCCTCCTCATCTCGATACCTTCGAAACGCGTGGCCCAACTACCCTACCGAGTGATCCCCCCTCCCCTCCTCTGCAGAGTGCGTATGTATGTCCTGGTTCGCTCGATTTCATCCCATGCCAAGGTGTTGCAGGCCAGATGAGGGAATGCCCGGACCGGGGAATAGCGGGGTTCTCAGCCAAGTCCTGCATGCATGGATCGATCAGAATGGCATCACCGAACCGTACCGAGGATCCACCCCGCAGAGGTCTGTCTGTACAGGAATACCCCGCTCGGGAGTCCTGACGTGCCGTCGTCTCTACATCCGTCTTTGCGACTCGTATCGCTGTCCATCGTCCCATAGCATCATACTTACCATCATCCGTGATACATCCCTTCCGCGAATCCAGCCAACATGTCACCGCCTGCTACTAACCCCCCCATCATCCTCGACCCCGCCGCTTTTGATCCGACCTTGCCAGGCGAAGAGTTCACCAAGTATGAGGAACAGATCCGCCGGACCATTGCTGCCGACCCTCAGCAATGGTGGGAAGTTGGTGCGGTCGAGTACCGTCGTCGTCGCAAGGCCGGGGAGTCGACGTCGCCAGCCCCCAAGCTGCTAGACTCCGGGTCGGCCCTGGCCGTACCTTCGCGAGACAGAGGACGTACCATCCCGTGCCGCACATTCAAGCCTACAAATGGCAGTGCAGTCCTCGGCGTCTTCATGCACATCCACGGAGGGGGGTGGGTTCTCAACGACGAGGAGTACCAAGACGAGTACATGCAATCCATGGCCGATGACTACGGCCTCGCCTGTGTGACCGTCGGCTACCGTCTTGCTCCCGAGGATCCCTTTCCTGCGGGACCGCAGGACTGCTTCGATGTCGGAGACTGGCTATTCGACAAGGCGCAGAGCGAATTCGGTGCACCGCTGGTCTTCATCGGTGGCGAGTCGGCCGGCGCCCACCTGTCCCTGCAGACGGCGCTGCATCTCATCCGCTCCAAGAACTACACCGTTCCCGGCGGACTGATACTGCACTACGGCTGCTTTGACCTGGGGATGACTCCCTCCATCAGGTACCTGGACCGTGACGGGCCTTCTGTGTACCTGACCAGCGCCAAGTACGAAAAGTTCCGAGATGCCTTCTTGCCGGGCATGGCAGGCGACGACTTCCACCGGCCCGACGTCAGTCCGCTGTACGAGGACCTCGGCCTGTTGAGGGGGTCGCTGCCCGCTGCGCTCTTCACCTGCGGCACGAGGGATATCCTGCTCGATGATACGCTCTTCATGAGCACCAGGTGGTTGAGTGCCGGCGCCGAGACGGTGCTTGAGATCGTGCCGGGTGCGCAGCATGCCTTCTCGCGCTTTCCGCAGGTGCCAGGTACTGGAGCAGCGCAGGCAGAGGCAGCTGTGAAGGCATTCGTGACTCGCAGGTTGTAGATCCATCGGGACATAGATTCAAGCACATCATGTTTACGCCTTTAACCTGCCTCTCTAGAATATCCATGTACTTATGTTCTGTAGCCCGTTCCCGGGCACAGACGCTAGCCATGCTAGCCATGCTAGCCATGCCGTGAGTTGCTTGTCTAGATAACGTAGCGGTAGAGTGGCGAGCGATCGCCCATCTCAAGAAGTTCCTCTGCAAGATGGTATGGTCAGCAAACGCACCGCCAAACAATTCTCCTGTACATGGGAAATGGACTTACCCTCCGTATACCTTTCCCGTATCTCTGCCTCCGACATCTTTTCCCTCTTCGCATTCTCCCTCGCATACACGTAGCGCAGAACAAAAGTGCATATTATAGCATTGACCAAGCAAGCAGCCGAAACACCGTACCCTGTCCAATATGTCGGAGCCTCCCGCTCAAGATAGATGTTCGAGCCCACCAGGCCGCCCAAGTTCCCCACCATGATGCTGATGGCAAGTCCCATCGCCCGTTTCCATGACGGCGCGAGATTGTTCGAGATCCACGAGACGAGAGTGATGACGGAAGGATGGGCGCCTGCTGGGATGGCGAATAGAAATGCATATGTCAACCCGGGGAGAGAGGGATGCGGTATCGCCATTAGCCCTACGAAGCCACATAATGCGAGAGCATATGGCCCGACAATGAAGGGCCATCTCTTGTGACATTTATCCGCAAACCACGATGTTACCAGGGTGCTCAAGACCCCCAGCGCATAAACGGGAACGGTGAGTAGCTGAGCTTGCGTCGAAGTATATCCCAGCTCGAGGATGATGGTTGGCGCAGTAAATGTGAAACCGTTAATGGTGATGCTTGTCGGGATGTCAGTGGCGTATACACGGCAAGTATCTTGCATGGATTGCCCGGCTCACATGTGGCCCCAGTAGATGAAGACGGTAAACCAGATCTTCCAATCCACCAAGGCGGATCTGATCGTCTTCCACCGATACTCGTCGTCTGTCTGTACACGTCCGGCGGCAGTTCCTGAGTTCTGCTCCAGCCGGGCGCGGATTATGGACTTCTCGTCGTCGGAGAGAAATGTGCATGTCGCAGGATAATCCGGCAAGACCAGCAAGACCAGAAGGCCGACTAGGATCGTCACAGCGCCCTCGACTATGAAGATCCAGCGCCATCCGCCGATGCCCCTCATGCCATCCATCTGCTGCAGGCCGGATGCGAGGAGACCGGAAAAGGCGCCAGCCAGGGACGCTGCCGAGAAGAAGATGGATAGACGCCACTGCAACTCGAATCGACAGTACCACTCCCCCAAGAGATACGATGCTGCGGGGAAGAAGCCCGCCTCGAATATTCCCATGACTGTTCTGGTTGCGGCAAGGCTTCCGAAGCCCCTGGTACCGGCATGGCAGGCCATGATCTTCATCAGTCAGATATGCGGTAGGTAATTATCTCGAGAAAGAAGATGGAAGCACCTACAACACCCCATGACGTGACGAGGAAAGAGATCCACCTAGACGGCCGCATGAACTTCAAAGCGATGTTGCTCGGTACGTCAAACAGCGTGTAGGGAATGAAGAAGAGCTGCACATGCCGTCAGATAAGAGACCGTTGTGCCCTGGGGGGGATCCGGTTGCGACTCTCACCGAAAGGACAATGTTATACTGAGTCCCCGTCAACCCCAGCTCCGCATTCATCCCGGCCACCTTGGCATTGCCAATGTTTCCCCTGTCCAGGAAGGCCAGGAGGTACAGTGCCGTAAGCATGGGCAGCAGGCGCAGATCCACCTTCCTCAGCGTCCTCTTCACCTTTACCGGGTCGTAGCAGGGGAGGCCATCTTCGGTTAAGGCTCTTAGTTCAGACGCTGGCGCTTCTTCGTTGATGCGCCATGACTCGGCCTTTTCTTGGCTTGGAGGATTCATTTGTGAGGCCGAAACGGTCCGGGGAGGCAGGTGTCTGATCGGGGCAATAGTCCGCCAACGAAGCAATAATGGGTATTACTAGGTATTATGAGAGCTCGATGTGACGAGAGGAGGCATATGGCCCGAGGATACAAAAGTGAGGGAGGGGGTTTCAGTATCCAGAAGGAAGAAACGTAAAAGGAAGTTGAGGAAAAGGTGATCCACAGGCTGGGGATAATAATTGAAGCGGGGTGTGTTTACGACGACGGCGCGATCCGGAGAAGCATGAGATTGTTCAAATCAAGAACAGCAGTTCAATATTGATGTTTCAAATTGTCATCATTGCATACCAAGACATTTGTGAGTCCATCTTAGGTCATAGCATACTAGGCTTTCCATATCCAATCCTAGCCAACTTCCTCACTAGATAAACAAGAGATAGTAAACCTATTCATCGGTGTTCCTCGGGTTGATTCCCCGAAAACGTTGGCTAGTTGGTCAACAACTTGTTCAAGGTCGGTGCGGGGGCAGCAGTCGATGTCGTACTACTCCGTACTTCCATCTTTGGGAATGGATCGTCGGCAAGTCTTGGATGTACCGACTGGCTCCTCGCACTGGTTAATTTGCTGATTGGATCAGCCAAAGAGCCTGGAGCACGAGAAGTCGGGAGTAAAAGCGGCAGGGTGACGACGAGCACCTAGGCTTACTCGATTGCATTCTAGGCCCCTGATTCCAACGAAGGGTAACTCCACGCACAGCGAGTCTAGATACAAGATCGATGCGATCAACAAGAGGGAATCTAATTCATTCTCATACGGGGTAATTGATTAATCCGATAACTAGCACCCGGCGACGGATAGATATTCCGCGCTGGAGTCAAGTGCTCAGGAGATACTAGGGTGGATGGGGCCCTCAGGCCTTCTGGAACCTGGCAGCAAAGATCTTATCAATCTCCTCATCGGACAGGAGAGGGAGCCCCAGGAGCTCGTTGTCCACCTCGGGATAGGAAGCGCGGAACTTGCCTCCCAGGATGGAAGCCTTGAGAACAGCATAGGCGAATTTCCGTTCGGTCGGGTTCGCCGCTATATCCTTGATAGCGCGTTCAAGCTCCTCGGAACTATTGAGCCGAGTCACCTTCCACTCAACCCCGGGGGTATACTTCTTGGCGCTCGCGAGGACCTTGGCCTGGGTCAGGACAACGTCGTGGACGAACAGGTTGCGGTTCTTGGTCTTCTCGGGGATCTTGAGGGCGCTGGCGACGGCCTTGCCGATGGTGGCGATCCTGGTGGAGCTGAAGCTGTGCTCCCCACCATCGTAGAGGTCAATCGAGTGGTTCTGGGGGTCGAGGACGAAGTTGTAGTCGACGACGTATTCCAGGAAGGCCCCGATGGAGAAGATGGTCCACTCGAGCTGGCCGGCAGCAGCCTTCTCCTTGAGCAGATCTTGGACGCGAACGAACGGGGCGTTGATTGGCAGCGACCGCGCATCGGGGTCGGTCGTGGTTGTGCCCCAGTCAGCGGGGATGTAGCGCTTCACACCTGCCTTGATGCAGGCCTCGATTACCGGTTCCTGGTTGATGAGGGCCCCGAATCCGACCGTGGAGACGGCTGCATCGTGGCCCCGCAGGGCCTCGACGATGCTGTCCTCGGAGGAGTAGTCTACCTGCACGGCCTTGACGCCGGACGGAAGGTCCTTCAGACCAGACACGTCTCGGCTCAGGACAGAAACGTCGAATCCGGCTTCAACTAGGCCATGGAGCACCGCGCTTCCCAGGTGGCCTTTCTATAGCATAGACTCAGCACCTGTCGTACATGGGGACATGCGAAGTGAGGGGGGAGGGGGGAGCGGGGCGGGAACTTACGCCGAGGAGAGCGACCTTCTTGTAGGATGCCATTTTGCTTGATATGTGTTTATATGAACGGATGTCCAGTATATATCAGAGCTGCTACGATGATATCGAACCAGTACATTGCGTCCATGGGTCAGGAGCGTATTTATACTTGATCTGTCAAGTCGTCATCCGTCGCATCTACCCCACCGACGGGGACTACTATGTACCGACAGCATACCTCCTTCTCATCGCATCCGTCATATTGACCGGCCCAATCGCAGCGTCAGTATGCGGAGTTTAGTGGGGGGATGGGGAGGGGTTCGTGTGGATGTCTATGGCGTGCACACGGACTTTATATGTAGCAGTATTCTGTATTCTCGGGCATTGGCTTATGAGAAGTCCGCGAGCCGTCCGTGCCAGGAGATAGCGTTGAACGGTCTCCCATTTCTGATGGCGGAGAAGTTCTGCGATGATTTGTAAAGCATGCCGGGATTGAATAGCTTCCATCGGGTTAACTCCGTACACAATACGGTACCCTAACGTATGCTCCCACCGATCACGATTGAGCCGCGGTGCTGTTACATCTTGATGTCTTGGCGTCAGAGACCCCACCGGCAGCAGCGTGCTTCATGGGCTGTCATGGCAAACAATAGTTTCCATGCCAGGCAGATGCTTGCAGCATCCGTCGCCGCCTTGTCCTCCTATCTCTCTCGGAAACAGAGAGCCCCGTGAGAGAGGGGGGAGGGGGGACCTGGATGGCATCGGAAAAGTCTGTTCCTATGAAAGATGAAGATCATTCGGAAAAGTTGAAGCGAAAAAGGAACGAATCCTGCATCCAGGGCAAGCGCCGCTTCCTCATGAAGAGAACCGTCATAGGGGTTTTTTTCTTGTCACTGAAGAGGATGGCATGGAGAAGAAGAAGGGTGTTTGCAGCGTCGAGAGAGACTGCAGCGTTCACATGGAATACGGGAACATGGAAATATCGAAAGATCGGAGTAAAATGTTGGGATCAGTACAAGCAGGAAGGGCGACTTAACAGGAGAGAAGCTACCTGGTCCACCCGCACTCGAATATGAGAGAGGGAGAAGACCAAAGCGGGGTAATGAAGCGAACGCGCGTCTAGAACTGGTGTCGCGAGGCACATGGAACAGTATGAATCGTGTGGAAACATAAGCATCATGCTCCCGTAGCTGAGAGTGAGTGTCTAGGGGCGCCTGATCGAGTCCGAGAGCCATGACTTCAATCGCTCCAAGACCCATCCGACCGCTCCGGAATCAACTCCCGTTTCTATATCGGATATCGGGGCATTTCAGCGTAGAGCGACCTAGCAAGGATGTAAAAACCCCGAGTTTTGCCATGGTTGTTGGGCTAAGAAGTGAAGGATGTCCATTCTATACTCATAGACTGAACCATCCTTCCGCGATAGGTCGCACGCGTACGGACTAGATATTCATCAATCATACGTGACTCGGTCTGAGATAGCTTCTACTGCCCGCTGCCAGATGGGCCAAGCTCACACCGCTCCGAGCTCGATGCCTGCTTTTCCCACGATACCGGGCCTGAGTGTCAGACAGCTGGCGGGTCGCTGCAGATCATTTCCACCATCACGGACCATAGGCCGTGAGGCGCCCAATTGGTATATATCAGCTTGATTCTCACGCGATTTGATGGTGACGTGGGTGAGACATGTGACATGGTCAACTCTACATTAAATGCTCGTGCCACCCTCGGAGCTCAGCTCCGTCTTCCCTCTTACAATGAATTTTCTTTCATACTCTTGGATCGCAAAACGTCGCTGAATGTTCACAGAATCGCCAAGCATGTCCGTTCCGGAATACAAGGCCAGCGACAGTGTCGACTTGGCCCAGGTCACGGACTTCAGTAAACTCGCCAAAAAGTCCGTCATCGTTACTGGAGGCGGTACGTTATACCAGTCATCGCAATGATCTATCGGGCCTCGGAATAAGAGAAACGAATGCTGATATTTCCACTGTAGCCAGCGGTCTCGGAAAGAGCTATGCAACTGCATTTGTACATGCTGGGTGAGTCTTCTTCCGTCAGCTCACCGTCCGCCTGAACGCGCCTCTCTCATACTACCCGCCAGGCGGAGCAAGTAACCCTCCTTCATCCACGGAACAGACAGCGTTGACCACTCTTCTATAGGGCCTTCGTCACCGTGGCAGATTACGATGTAAAGGGTGGAGAACAAGCCGTCTCCGAGCTTGGCAGGTGAGTGGTGTTAGTCGCCTACGTACGGTTGACACAGACGATTGACCAGATCGATACAGTAACGCGCAATTCGTCAAGTGCGATGTTCGTAGCTGGGAGGACCAAGTGGCAGTGTTCGAATCGGCAGTCAGCAACTCCCCCAGTAAGGGTGTCGATATTGTCATCGCCAATGCTGGTATGAATCAAGAGGACGACCTGTTCACTCTTCAAGGTCAGTAAGCCCCCCCGGGAAGACGTCGCAGAGTTGCTGCATCGTTTAGGTATACCGGTCACCTCTCCAGAGTTCAGCATCTAAGACTTCATATCTGCACAGACCCATCCCAGCCCCCCGTCAAGCCCGACTTGAAGGTTCTCGATGTCAACCTCATCGGCCCAATATACACGGCCAAGCTGGCCATTCATTACTTCCGTCGCCAGCCCGACGATGATGAACACGACCGCTGCCTCATCCTGAAATCAAGCATGGCCGGCTACATTGACATGCCCCCATACCCGCAGTACAACGTGTCCAAGTTTGGCGTCCGAGGGTTGATGAGGACTCTTCGTCACGGAACCTGGAGGGAGGGCATCAGGGTGAACGTGGTAGCACCATGGTAAGTCTCGCTCGCTCCCTCTCCGTGCTCCTCCTTTCCCTTCTCCGTCCGATCTGGGAAGCGAGAGTGTAGGAACTCCTTGGTTGGAAGCTGACCAGAGATGATAGGTATGTCGTCACTCCCATCATCTCCGACCTTGCCGTTCGGTTTCTCGAATCAAAGGGCGTGAAATTTGCTACAAAGGAAGACTGTGCCTCTGCCATGCTGAGCATCGCCTCAATGAGGGACCTCAACGGTAAGTCTGATATATATATATATATCAATCTGTGCCGAATCAAGATCCATCAAAGCCTGACCAGTAACAATATAGGGAAATCTTTTGCCATCGTGCCGCGCGCCCTGTTTGGGACGGGAATCATAGACTTGGGCCTCGACGATTACAGCGACAAAGACGTCCTGAAGGAGCTCCACGATCTGATTCGCATAGTATCTCCAACAGCTATGAAGGAGGGGTAGCTTGCAAGAATGCTTCCATGGTTGAGATATATACATATCACCGTGTAGGGTTATATCCTCATATTGAGCTTTCCATACATTATCACCACTACAAGGCATTGCGTGCAATCATCCACGACATGATCCCTTTTATTTCTTCCTCTCTCTCTCCCTCTCGGCTTTCCTACCCCGGGCGCGACCGAAAGGCAGAAGGCTCTGAGAGGCATAGGTTGCGAAATGAATACATACGCGCCCTGAATGCATCCTGCAGACTTGGCCGCATGTTATCCGCCTAATTAAATCGCGCCCACCTATGAGGTGTGAAGGGTTCCAACATGCGCCCCTCCCCCCCCCCCCCCCCCCCCTCCGGGAAAAGGTGACTGCAAGCTGTATGTTCATTTCCCATGCACATCGTACGGACCTCATGACCATTCCGCCGTTTACGCCTCACTGGATGTGTTGACCAAGCGCTGCCGAGACAAAGACTCTCTGACATCGTCTACGATCCCAACCGCCGTGGCTGTGTCCTCAAGGCTGATTTACGACCCGTGTATGAGAGGCCAAGGCCCGTGGCTGATTTCAGAGGTGTTTTGCGATGTTGGTTCTGCCTTCTAATTCACGACGGCTCCAGATGCGGGGCTCGACCATGCTGCCCCCCCTGGCTTATCATCATGTACATGGCAGCCAACAGCATCATCATCGATCGCCTCATTGGCAACGAAAACGCCGATACATGCCCCCCTGAGAGAGTATGATGGGCCACGCATCCCATAGCCACCACAATGCTTTCTTTTCTTCTTCGGATGAACTGGGCTCTAGACGCTCAAACTACCGCCCCTATACTTCACATATATAGTTGTGCATGGTAAACATTTAGTCGCATCGATATACCCCAAGAATAAGCAGCGGGCATACTTTCTTTTGTTCTTCTTCATCACGGACGGAAACTGATCCCCCAGATTGGTCGTCCTTCTTACAAGATATCATCGACCTGTTCCTGAATACTGCGCCGTGTCCCATCGACCTAGCAGTAATGGGCTCATTACACAAAGACTCCAACAGCCTCTTGACCGAGGATCACCGAGGAGTCCTAGACACAATCGACTCTCTCCGATCCAAAGGCATCGGCAAATACGTTGACCTCCCTCAAATCATCGTATGCGGCGATCAGTCATCCGGAAAGAGCTCCGTCCTCGAAGCTATATCGGGCCTGTCATTCCCCACCAAGGATGCGCTCTGCACCCGGTTTGCGACAGAGCTGGTTCTCCGTCGCAGCTCTGAGACGACCGCCAAGTTCTCCATCCTCCCTGGTTCCGATCGCACCGACAGCGAGAAGAAGAAGCTCTCCTCCTTCCGCCATACCACTTCCGACCTCGACCTTGCCAAGGTCATAGGCGATGCCCAGGAATTGATGGGCCTCAACGGCAAGGACAGGGTATTCAGTACCGACATCCTGCGCGTCGAGCTATCGTCTCCGACGCAGCCTCACCTCACGCTCGTCGACCTCCCCGGCCTCTTCCTCGCAGGCAACAAGACCCAATCGCTCGAAGATGCCAAGATGGTTGAGCATCTCGTCCTGTCATACATGGAGCAGCCCCGCAGCATCATCCTCGCCGTCGTCTCGGCGAAGAGCGAGTTTGCCCTCCAGCAGGTCACCCAGCGGGCTCGCGAGAAGGACCCCGACGGCCACCGCACCGTCGGACTCATCACCAAGCCCGACACGCTGGATGAAGGGTCCGAGAGCCAGACTTCGTACCTGGAACTCGCGCACAATAGAGACGTCGAGTTCCGCCATGGCTGGCACGTGGTCCGCAATCGCGATTTCAAATCACGCAACTCTTCCAGGGCCGAGCGCGACGCGGCCGAAGAGGCCTTCTTCTCGAGCGGTGTCTGGTCCTCGCTGAGCCCAGCACAGCTGGGGATCCAGTCCTTGATCACCAAGCTCAGCAAGCTCCTGTACGATCACACGCTGTCAAACCTCCCCGAGGTCCTCCAGGAAGTCGATTCCGGCATCTCCTCGTGCAGGCAGTCGCTTCAAAAGCTTGGCCATGGCCGGGAGAGCACCAGAGACCAGATCATGTACCTTGTCCGCCTCAGCCAATCCTTCAACGCACTTGTCGATGCTTCCGCCCGAGGAGACTACTACGATCCGTCCTTCTTCAAGGACTCCAAGTCGGAAGTCGGCTACCAGCGGCGGCTGCGTGCGCGGGTGCAGAACTGTCTCATCGATTTTTCCAAGGCCATGTTCGCCAAGGGCAAGGCGGTGACGATCGTGGACGATCCGGAAAAGGTCAGCGAGACGTCTGAGCCCAGGCGCGTCCTTCGCCAAGACTACATCTACGAGGTGAGCATCGTCATGGCGAGGAATCGGGGCCGCGAACTCCCCGGCTCGTTCAACCCCCTCATGATCCAGGAGCTCTTTGCGGCGCAGTGCCAGCCCTGGAAGTCTCTCGCGCAGGATTGTATCGACGCCGTCCTGGAGGCAGCCCAGGATATCCTCCAGAGTGCCATCGAACATGTTGCCGATGAGGTGACCGCGGAGCGACTACTTCTCGACGTCATCAAGTCATCGTTTCAGGATATTCGTCTTGTCGTCCAGGAGAAGCTGGACGAGCTGCTCTACCCGCACCTGGAGGGCCACCCGATAACCTACAACATCTATCTGATCAACAAGATTCAGGAGGTGAAGCAGGACCGACACAAAGAGGGCCTCCTCAAGTCGTTCCGCGATTGCGTCAACCTCGATGAGAAGGATAGAGAGGGGGCGGCATACACTTTCACGGACATGGAAAGGGTCTTCACAAACGTCCAGGCCTTCACCATGCCGGACCTGGAATATGGCGCCTCGGAGACAGCTGTCGACTTCATGGAGGAGTACTACAATGTCGCCTATCAGAAGTTCACAGACGACGTCGGCGTCCTGGCCATAGAGCAGTGCGTCATCAGAAGGCTCGCCTCCGTACTGTCGGCTGACAGCGTCTTGGAAATGGAGGAGAAGAAGGTCAATGATCTGGCCAGCGAGAGCCCGGAGACGCTGGTGTTGCGCAAGCGTTTGACCGAAAAGCTAGAGGTTCTCGAAGCAGGAAAGAAGGCTCTGGGGGGGCTGCGCCACGTACGGTTCTGATCAGTCGAAGATGCGTTCCATCCTTGTTCAGAGACACCGCAGCGACGGAAATTAGGACTCCTGCAGTCAGTTGTATGTATAACCTCATCATGTCAGCGTATGATGAGGCCGTGAGCGACCTGTAAGGTTTATACGTATTTTACTTGTGCTTTATCCCAAGATTCTATAGTATCACGTCTGCAGGAAGGGAGAATCATACTTGGGGATGAAAGTTTACGCATGTGTTCCAGAAGTCTAGTGTATATGCGCTGAATGTCGATCGCCCTTTCACCATCACATCGCATACGACCACAGCCAGTGGAGAATACGGGGTCCCGTCCGCTCCCATGCTTTTAGCTCCTTGAAGGACGGGTGGTGGCTTCTTTAGGCATAGTCGCATATCCTACAAGGGCGCGCGCAAAATTGATCTGGCTTATCGTGGATATCAAAGGGTCCTGAGCTGTATGGCCCTGATCGATCAAAGATTCATGGCTCCATTGTCGATGCGCAGAGTAGGAAAGCGTGGATGAATCTCCGCGTAGGCTGGTCGAAAAAGACGCTCCGTACATGGCGTGTCAGTTGGAGAAGGTCAGCCTTGAATCTACCAGGATCGTAGGATTTCTTCTGCTCCCCAACAACGAGAACATCTTTATAGAAGAAGGTGCTGCCTGGATTGGTGGGCACTGGAAGAAAGATATCCATCTGGCCCTTCCGCCCTTGGAACCGGCTAGCGGTCTGGGTGGTGTGTAGCTCGTATGGTGCATCAGATAAGGCGCGCTCTTGTAATGAGCAAGGCCGGTCCCGTACTGGCCCTTCGTTAGCAATAGATGGAAAATCCGTCCATCTCTTTCCATCATGTGTCGCCATCACGTCTCGTAGCATCTTTATCCGTCCTTGGCTCCAGCTTTGGCGGTTGAAGAATTCTTCAAAGAGGGCGCTGACACCGCGAAAGGTAGCGGTCAGGGACGACCGACGCGTAGCCGTTGCGCCGGTACGTGGCGGCTGTCGGGCAAGACGCTCACTCCATTGCTCAACCTGAATCAGTTTCGTCGCGCTGTCGTTGGGGAGCACCTTGATGAAGACGACAATCTTGACCCGGTGGCCCGATGCCGCGAACCACCATCGCATTCGTAGCGTGCAGGCTCCGCATGCTTTGGCTATAGCCAGCCTCGAAGACGATTGTGGGCCAAGCGTCCGTCTTCTTGGCGTCCAACAATAAAAGTGACAATGGCAAGGGTGAGCTTCGCTAGAAAGAACAGGCGCCATCTACGACCGCTCATGTCGCGCCTCCCCTCCATCTGCTTGAACGAGGCGACGGTGACGCCGCTGGCCACGACGGCATCCCTATGTCGGGGCATGCCGGACACCATGGCCCAGAAGGAGTCAATAGAACGGAGAACGACGTCTGCACCGGGTGGTGGCGAGCGCGCCAAACTGTCAGGTGAAATATCCGGTAGCTCATGACGGTCAGCCGGTTGGTTTGTCTGTTCCGCCATTCCTCCCCGGCACCCAGACTGGACATGGTGATGGTGCTCCATCTTGTTTGACGCCGCGGGTTTTGGGGGGGGGAGAGAGTGTGAGAGTGATGCAACTTGGCAGCCATCAAGACTTGCAAGGGAGGCTGCTCATGCTGTGGTGTCGATATGCCACGGAAGAAGTATCCATGGCGCAGTGTGACTGGTTGCAGACGTGACGATTTACGGTTTCAATGGATGTGGTCATGGTGGCAGACTGAGTGTTATGGTAAACCATTCCATAGCTCAGGCAAGCGGGACTCGACTATAAAACCGTCGAGTCCGGCACCGTGGTCACGCAAAAAGAAGGATGTCTGTCTCTTTCTAGTATGTCTTGTGGTATGCCGATGGTTGTTTGTATGTTGTCGTATTGTGCTACAAGGGACGTATCTTGACGTTGCCATAGTCAGATCTAGCTATGGCTGCCCAAGGCAGTAAAAGTAGAAGGAAAACACAGCAAAAGCATGACGATACCACAAGACATGCTGAAAGAGACGAACATCCATCTTTTTGTGTCCTCGGCCGGAACGACTCTCGCGGCTGGAATGACCATTGCCTCCATGCTGTGACCCTTGTGAAGCCAAGAAGCAAACAGCCACATACGACATGTTACAGGATATAGACAAGGTGATATCACCCCTGTCTACCAGATCACTAGCGGACATGCCATGATACAGAAGCCCCAGAACTCGATGGGTTCGGGTACCAGCTTCTATATCGTGTCCGCATGTTACGCCTCCTTATTTCGTGCATCAGTCAAGGCCGGGACCAAGGTGCTAGCTGCTCCATCTGTTCACCATCAATCTACCAATCTTTCTTATATCCTTTGCTGAGCGGTGTGACTGCAATTGATATATAAATCACTGACCCCGATGACCTCTGGTCAATTCAGCCTATATCCCGTAGGAAACGGATCTTCCGGGTCGAGGACAATCTGCTTGTAAGACGTGATCCAGCCCCTTCCTTGAATGGTGGGCAGAACCGCATTTATATCCCCCACCTTGGTCTCACCACGTACACGGCAGACAAAGTCAGTTCCGATCATGCTTCTGAACCGTACCGTTTCGCCCGTCTTGATCTGGCCCCGTGCATGGAGCACCGCCAGTCTCGCAGAGCTTCCCGTGCCGCAAGAGCTCCTATCCAACCGCCCGGGCTTGATGACCATGGCCTGCTTGGCGATCCTCCCGTCGTCGCCGGCGTCGCCCAGCGGTTCGGTCACGCTGATGTTGTCGATGCCGTGAAACTCGGCTATCTCTGGATGCACGGGGTTGTATACCTGCGCTGCGGCAGCTTTGACGCGCCCCCCCAGGTCGACGATCTGGCTCGCGTGCTCACTCGCCACCCCGAGACCGAGACTGCTCGCGTCCACAAATGCATACCACCGTCCGCCAAAGGCGATATCTACCTTGACGGTGCCGATCCCGGGAACATCAACCGGCAGGTCGAGCCCGTACACCAGAGCCGGGACGTTATCGATCGATACCGTCTTGCACTTTCCCTGCTCGCACCGGGCCTCGACTTTGACCAGACCGGCAGCCGTGTCGTATCTGACCTCCGTCACCGGCTCCTTCATCGGTATCATTCCCGTCTCGAGCATCACCGTCGTGGTGCAGATGGTGTTGGACCCAGACATGGGAGACCAGTCGCCGCTCGCCATGACGATGAACCCAGCGTCGGCTCTGGGGTCGCAGGGTGGTAGTATGAGCACCGCGCTCATCTCGAGACGGCCCCGCGGCTCATTCAGTAGTAGATGGCGTAGGTCTTCGCCGTGCTCCCTGAAGTGGAGGAGCTTGTCCTTCATCGTCTTGGCTGGTACGTCGCGCACGCCGCCGATGATGATGTCGCCTACTTCGCCTTCCGCGTGGCATCCCACAATAGATATGTATCGTGTTGACCTCATTGTGTGATTCCTAAGCGTGATGGTTGCTTGATTGAGAGACAGATGGATAATTAATAGTTATGATATGGTGGAACGTGTGGATCGTGGCGTGACGCATGTCTGTTCTCTCTCTCTCTCTCTCTCTCTCTGGAATAAATCACTCGTAATCCTCTGAGCAGTTAGATACTGTCAGCGCGCCGTATGATCAGATTAATTGACTCTTTTGCCATACCCGCTTGGGTCGAGAAATCATCCTCTCCGGTCATCGGGTTTAAGCGCCACGCGGCTTGGTAATTCTGCAATCCTGGAAGATGTCGAGCTCGTCTCGTCGGTACAAATTGCCAGATTAGGTGTCCCCGCTTGCCTCCGTTATAAAACGTCGAATTGAACTTGGTATTATTGCCTCTTCAACATCAAACATCATATAGGAGCTGCCCAAGGGATGCATATTGCATGATGTGACAAAGGAGGAGGAGTGTCCTCTTCCTGGGGAGAAGTTTGCATACTAATACCCTGTGAAGTACAGATTACACAAATTTCCAAGTCCGAATGCGTCCGTCTACTGGCGAAGAAGCATCCTCCAGCCAAGATGACTGCCGTTTCGCGCACCGCACTTCTCGGCGCCGACACGATGAAACCCACATAATATCCCCACAATAGATATCGCCATCATGTTTCGCGATGGCGATATCTATTGTTCGGTGCAGAATCTGTACATGTACGGGCTTATCCGAGAATGGCTGATAATAGGGACGGAACGGTGACATTATAAGCCTGGTAATACCTCTTCTTGTCAGTGCCACGTGCTTTGCCTCACAATGTTACGGCTAGGCTAAATCAACCACCGCTCGTGATCCTCGCTTAGGCTATCTGTAAGTCACCATGGACAACAGCAAGGCTGGCATATACGAGACAAGCACGATCACCGGTGACAATGAGGCCCAGTTACCGACAGGCTCCAAGGCTGCAATTCAGGAGGCTGAGGACATCAGCACTGGGACCAACAGGCGACTGAGACTGAGGGCCGATGCTCTAGTACTGCCGCTGCTCACCATGGCATCTGTCATCGCATTGCTGGACAAGGCATGTATACGTTTCAGCACTGTGCAAATTTGAAGCTTGATAGAGATGACTGACCGTACTCATCAACTGCTCTAGAATGCCCTCGGATTCGCCGCCATCTTCGGCATGAAGGATGACGCTAACCTTCGAGGCCAACAGTACAGTTGGCTGGGTTCCATTGTGTACTTCGGCTACATGATTGCCCAATTCCCTCTGGGATGGATCCTGGTCAAGGTGCCGCTAGCCAAGCTTCTGGGAAGCATCGTGATGATCTGGGGCGTCCTGGTGTGCTCCATCGTGGCCTGCAACAGTTTTGCCTCGCTTGCTGCCATCCGTTTCCTTCTCGGATTCTTCGAGGCTGGCGTGGTACCAACCAACATGATCTTCATGAGTCTCTGGTATCGTCGCGAGGAGCAGCCTCTGCGGACAGCCATCTGGTACAATACCCTGGCTGGCGTGCTGGGTGGCATCTTTGCCTTTGCCATCGGTCGCCTGGATAGCAGGTACCCTACGTGGAAGCTGATATTCCTCATATACGGTTCCGTCAGCCTGGTGCTGGGTGTTGCCATTCTTCTGGTCCTGCCGGATCATCCTTCTCGAGCGTGGTTCTACAACGCCGACGACAAGAAGAACATGGTCATCCGCATCAGTGCGAACCAGACAGGTAACAGGGCCAACAACAGGTTTGAGTGGAAGCAGGTCGTCGAAGCCGTGGTCGATCTCCGCTTTTTCGTCTTGGCTATCTATGCTCTTGCCTGGGGCATCGTCAACGCCGGAATCACAAACGTAAACTCGATCGATCATGTTCTCTTTCTGTCCGTGCCGGTCACGCTAACAGGACCCAGTTCAATCCCCTCATCATCTCAGGTTTTGGATATTCTGCGGAAAAGACATCTCTACTGGCGTCGCCCCAAGCGGCGGTAGCGACCTTCTTCCCAATTGTCTCGTCAATTGTCGCTGACTTTGTCCTCAATATCCGCTGCTTGATATGGGTTCTCTCCACCCTGCCAGGAATCATTGGCGCTGTCCTCATTCGCAGTAGGTGCCCGCCCATCTAGATATTCATACTCTCAAACAGAGTTTCTAATGTCGCTCCAGCTCTCGACCCAGTTTCACAGCGCGGCGGTGCACTCGCAGGTGTTTACTTGTTGGGTTTCTACAATGTATCTTGGGTCATGGCCATGTCCCTCGTTATCTCGAATAACGCCGGTGCCACCAAGAGATCATTTGCATCTACGTCCATGTCTATGCTCTACGCCGTGGGTAACATAATCGGGCCTCAGCTCTTCCTTGACAGTCAGGCGCCCCATTATCCCCTTGGTCTCTACGCTATGATGACAGCATTTGCTGTGCAGACTGTTTGTGGCATAGCATATTTCCTCCTATGCTTCATTGAAAATAAGAGGAGGGATAGCAAATATGGCAAGGTGGAAACCCAGACATTCACCAGACTTGAGACTGCTCAGAACGATTTGACAGACGGCGAGAACAAGGCTTTCCGGTATTGTTTGTAAGGGCATCACATAAAATTCCTGTCGTAGTAAACAGATGATCAGCATGATGACCAACCTAGGGCTGATGAGCAGGGTGCCCCTCCAGTCTCCCGAGAAGCTACAACCCATCTTGCGTGCCTGTGCTGTGAGTTGATGTGTATGCACCTCAGGGGAGCATAGGGTTCGGCCTCTGGGGGTGGGATGGTGCGGTTATGCCGCATCCATCCATTCTGAGGTCACCGGCGATTCATCCGCCGATGCGATGGGGGGTAAATGGATAGTGTCATATTAACGCGGGTGGGCCCTCATTTCATCTTCTCAGACGGAAGAGTATATCCCGCGATACCAGACGGTGGCTATAAAGCCGTACAATGTCCAATACAGAGATGGTATCTATCAATTGGTCGCGATGATTCCGTAGCAGTGATGTATTTCTTTTTTTTTTTTTAAAAAAAAAACGAAACGCTCAGCTCCCAATAGCACGATGACGATAGCTAGCATTATCAACAATAAGTATACTTGTACGTATATTCGCCTGAATATCCAAAGAGCCAAGGTAATCAGTGATAATAAGCTCATTTCTCGTAAGGGACAAAAAGACACGCATGCAGTAAATGCACAGCTCTTGCTTGCAAATATGACA